TTGCAAGTACAGTAGTTGTATTTACCCCTTAGATATGGCTCACATAAAAACAAAAATCTATGCCGTTGACCTGTTAAGACGCTTTGATAGATTCTACGGTTGCTGGTTAAACATAAACATTTATTCTGAAAGGACTGAAAGAGGTGCGCATGCAAGTGTTTCAGAATATTATTCCAATGGCACCGTACCTCATTCGCATCTCAGATGAAACTGTCTCTCAAATTATTGTTTGCTCGGTAACAAAAAATGAAACGTTTCTTTAATAGTAGTTTTAACAGTGCTTATTTCTTCACAAGATAAAAATTGCATATGGTATTTCACAAAGTAAGACGTTAATAGTAGTAAAAAGGTCGGAAAGGATAAAAATATGGAAAATATTCTTAACTCTCAACGCTATTTTGCATTAAAAAAATTCAACGATTTAAAAAAGAAGTTTTTTTTTTTCGCTTGGGGGAAATGACAGGAGTTGTTTCCAAAGTATATTTCATCTTCTTTTTCCTCTGCAGTCTCTCAACCTCTTCTGCAGGTTGCCACGAACGAGATCTCGTGCTGACCAGTCTTGCTGACCGAGATGAAATATTAGGGTGGTGTTCCAAACTTAGAATAAGCCATAAGTTATGATTTATGATTATTACACTGTAGGGCTTGAAACTGTGCAGCTTTGATTGAGTGTGCTTTTGGTTTAAGGAGATTTGCCTACATCGAAAAATTTCTAGAATTTTAAATGAGACTTTTGAGCAATGACTTGACATATCGAAGTATTCTAGTCAATAAGACTTAAGATAAAGTTAAATTCGGAGGTAATCTGGGTAATCAGGGACCTTCAACCTTTTCTGTCATGAAGAGTCAGTTTTGTACGTTCTTGTTGTACATTTTTATATCACGGTGTTAAAGTATGTGTGTAAAAAGTTGAAATCTTACTACATAAATTAAAAGACGTTAAGAAAAAACTAGTAACGGCAAGAGATCATGTGCCTCCTGCTATGGAGGGATAAGGTGTTGCAATAAATTTTGGGCTATGTACACGGGTTTCTTTTTGGAGTAAAAAGTGTATCCTTATGAAGGTAAAATTTCCAATTTGGTCCTAAAAAAGACCCCGGAACAGACAAATTAGATCAAAATATCAAACAAAATGACGGTATTCTGAAAGTAATTTGAGTAGGTGACACTCACTTAGAAGGTTTCGCAGGAATCTGTGAAAATAACCAAAGTTGAATTTGAGGTTTAAAAAGACAGCTTCTTAATGAACTTATTGCTTACGACGCCGACAGAAACTTAACCCGAAATCATCATTGCTTAACTAAAGGTTACCAGACCCACACACTAATCTCCTGTCTCACCTTCGTTAACACCTCTGTTTCCTTTCGCTTCTTTTATATGCTTTGTTTTGTTGACTACGTAAGTAGTGAACAACTGTTGTCTATTTTTTTTGACCGTATTTTCCTGGACGTCAAAAATGAAAAAAGCATACCAAGTTGGATTAAGGTTTAATTCGATTTGATCATCTGAGTTGATAATGTAAATTGGCCACTGTAAAAAGTTCTAAAGCGGACGCTTCGAGGGTCAGACCTTCGTCAGAGGTTTACACTCGTACTTAAGCGTATTTTTGAAGACTAAAGAACCTATCTCGTTCCAACCTCAACAGAATACGTTTTGAGATTTAATCGCTACAAGTTTCATCGAACTTCGAGGAGTCTTGGGGATCCTGCCTAGGATTTGACGTAAGTTACACAGACAAAACTAATTAGTTATTTGTTTTCTAAGTAATTTGTCAAATTTGTATCTTTGGTTTTCTTTGGCATACGATAATCACATATTCTTTTAGATTTCACCGCAAGTGTAACAGTGCATATCCTCTCCGCTGTCTCATCCACGAAAATTTGTTTAGATTGGCTGATCTTTGAGCCTCGTTTGAAAAAACGATGAAAGCTTATCGAAAAAACGAACATGCAGTCAGAACGTTGGTGCGAAGAAAAATGCAACCAGAGGTCGTAGTTGCTCCAGATAAATTGATTTCAATCGTACAAATGAGGAAAAAATATTCTACTTTAGTGGCAAATACGTAAGCTTTTTGTGATCTACAGATAATGATCTCTGCGTACACTTAGGGAGGGTAAAACTTTGATCATTAAAACCACCCCACATCTCCAGCTGATGGCTGGCTTACAACTATTTCCTGATAACCAGTAATAAACTGATATTTTAAAAAAAATTTTCAAAACATCTGCCCGAAGAAATGTTTATGGACATAGGGGAATTGTGATCTGATAGGCCTTAATTTGTGTAAATTTCAAGAGAGAACTAAATTAAGAAACTTGCTGCTCCGCGGATTAAACCTCTCTTTGTTTTTCAGCATCATTTCGTGCTTTTTGTTCAGTTTCGTACACGTGAAAAAAATGTTTCCGTTCTTATCCTATATTAACATATTGCGTTTTCCAATTTTGAGCTTGCTGTGAATTGTGAGTCGCTGGAAAAATATTTCATAATTTACTTTCCGTTTTCATTACTTAGAGACTGTTTAGGGATTGAGACTCCTCTAGATAAAACACCTTCAAGAACTCACCGAGATAAGGGAGGAACATATGCAGTCATCTGGTTAATTATACGTGGATAAACAGAAAATACACGGTAATGACAAAGGACGTCAGAAAAGATATAAATAAAGAAATGGAAAAACGGGCCGCAAAGTTAATTAGTACTCGACGGGTAGTCCGAAGTTTTGTGTCGTTTCCGTAAATAGAGTAAATCGTGGCACGAAATACTGACCAGAACATCCATCAAGTCAAGAATATTCGTTCGGTTTGGCAAGGTAATGGTAAATTTTGTTTCTTTTTAAGGATATGTACGTAGCAATTGAAACCAACCAATTTTTAAACCATGGAGCTTGTGGGAGATTGCTTGTTTACCCGGACGTAGATCGTAGAGAAATTTGCCGCTTTAGACAATACTGAAAAGCGAAAAAAATTTGTATTTTTACAAAATTTGTTGAAATGAACTCAGTAGTTTTGGTTACTCTGGACTCATCAACACAGCCATCTCAAAATTGAATTTTCTTGAGTTGTCGGGCATTTTAAGAGGGTAAATTTAATCGGCCAGCATCGAAGTACTGAGATAAGTGTGATGAAGCACTAAAAGAAAGTAACCGTTTCGTTCCTTTCTTCTTTAAATTTTTATTAGCGTTATTCCAATGGTTTCAGTATCGTGAAATTCTTCATTTTATTTCTACCTTGCTTCGTCTCTTCACGGGAGGCATTTTGGAAAATAGCAAACCAAAATTATTTATAGATCTTTTTCATCCGGTAATTCGACTTGATTGTCAAAAATTTAATCAGCCACAAAGCTTGTTTAGAGTTGAAACCTTTACTTCGCCAAACAAAATCAAGCAGGCTTTTGGTGGTCGATGGAAAACGAGGTGAAAATGTTGACCGAACCGAGAGAGAAATATGGTAATTTGACTAATACAACGTTTGAGAGACCGAAGCGATGCTGAGATAAGACTCATTGTTGACAAAAGTAAAGTACGATAGGGTGACTGGCACGCTTACAACATCTCGAGAAAGAGATTGTGTTCGCGAAATATTTCTGTCGGTAGCTTTGTTGACATTGTTTCTGTGAACCCCGCGAACCATGTTATCGAATGGTACTACAGCTGAAAGAAACTTGGATTTCGGTGTAACAAATCAAAATAGTATTTGCCGGAACCAAAAAGCTTGTTTTGCAAAATCGCAATAGAGTTGGAACAAAGAAATTCCATCCAAATCAGGGTCATATGCTTCCGCGCGGTCAGGCAGCAGACTCTATGACAATATTTCATTGAATTATTTAAGCAAAAATAATTCAAGCCAAAATAATTCACTGTAGAAGGATCGAACATGAGAAATTTCTGAGCGATGGCTGATTTTATATTAGGAACAATATAGTTGTTAGACATAACTCTTGTATGAGAACAATAGTTGGGTAAGATGCTCTTTGACAAGCCGCGTATAATTGTTTTTCATGACATGTTTTTTTTGCTTTGGTAAAAAATTGAGACATTTGTCTTTCAAATTATTCATTCAACCGCCAATGAAAAAATTTGGGCAAATAGCTCATGTTAATTTCTTAGACGTTAGACGAAATAAAACAAATATTAAAAATGTCTCAAATAAGCGCTTCTGCTCTGTTTTTTTCCTTTAAGCTTGTCTCGAGTTCTGACTTTCACGTGTAAGGAGGCTTTGGCGCGTCACTCGAGGTGTAAAAGGATTCCAAATGTCCTTTTAATGAGATAAAAATTTTTTCAACCAATTCAAAATAATGTCTTTTTGTACAACATTTTCCACCTGCAATAGCTAACAATATATCATTATGATCCCACCCGGAAAGTTGGTCCTATAGTTAATTTATCAACTACCTTCAAAAACGATTCATCTATTATTCTAAACAGTGGGGTTTATAAATTTCGAAGTTGTATGGGCGAAAATCAGGAAAGTTAATTCATCCTAAACCAATTTATGTTCGACAGAAGGTTAAAGCGAATAGCATTCGTCTTGCAATCATTCGGTTTTCCTCTTAAATTTGGCTTACTTATACAATCGGGACATACCAGATTATGTATAGTTGCAAGAAAAAAAGTTGAACTAAAGGAAAAGTCAAGGAGTTAAGGTATTTGTTTTTTCATTTCCTATCAATTCATGAATTTTTAAAAATTTTAAACTTTGGGCGATACAATGGCAGTTGCGTTTTCAAAAACAGTCCATGGATCACGCTCCTATCCTATGTAATTCTTATTAAATTAAATCATCATGGTCTACATCTCTGCTTACGTACAGTCGTGAGTACAAAATGTGGCGCACGCAATTGAATATTTTTCCGTAAACTTCACGTCCACGTTAACGGCGAGATCCTACACCCGCATGCTTTGTCTTCTACTGATGTTAGTGTTCGTCAAAATAACATTAAGGTAGTCGCGCAGGATGAAACTGCAAGTTTCTTAAGGTCCGTCTCAGAAAAAGTGAACGGAAATGCCAAATCGAAAACTTTCTTCAGGTTATTCAAATCGGCAAATTTTCCATCGACAACTTGTTCGAAGAAACCATTTTTAAAGGCAAATTTGAACACGAACCACAGAGACCTTTGTATCCACTGGATCGAAAAATTAATTTGTTCATGCTCAGTTGTAGTTTTGCTTGGAAAATTTGATGAGCACCCACGAAACTTTAGTCCGTCCGGGCTGTACCTCGAGCAGCTCTTATTCGTTCCCTCCAAACTCTCCCGCCCGTATTCATACCTCGATGTACGAATACCAAACATGAACCAATTTTTATGTAGCTTACCTCTGATATTTCTGAACCATCTCTAACTCCCATCTTGCAAAAAGATCAATTTATATTCAGCATCAAAGCGAATCGTGATGGCTATCGGAGGGTAATCGAATTTCTTTGTACCTAAGTAATTGAACGATACGTGTTTCAAGTTGTCAAAGTCGAGGCAATAATATTTCTCAAAGTCGGAAGATTTGACAGGTTTTTTTATGTTTTATTTCGATTTCATTTCAGGAGCAGCGAACAAACAACACGTCATTATGTCCAACATTAATTGCTCAACCAACACGCAGATGACCTCAAACTGTACAGATCTGGGAACAAAGCTAAGCAATTACAGCACTCCTTATGTAAACGGGATGACATTTTTCTATATTTTAATCATCGCCACTTCTCTAACAGCATACGGAATCGTCATCGCAACTGTTTGCGTAAATCGGCGTTTGAGAACGACGTGCAATTATTTCATCGTCAGTCTTGGCATAGCGGATTTAATGATCGTTTCCATGGTTATTCCAATAGGCATTGGCTTGATTCAGGGAACATTCCGCTTCAAGTCAGCCGAACAATGCGTATTTTTGTCTACAGTGAACTTAGTCAGCCTCTCAGCCGTGTCTTTGAATCTTTGCACTGTAAGTATGGAGAGGTACTTCGCTATTGCCTTTCCCTTCAAATACGAGGCATTCACGACGACCAAAACCACCGCGGGAGTAATAGGCGCTGTTTGGGCGTATTCATTAGTTGCCGCTCTGTTACCGATGATGGGTTGGAGAACTCGGCCTGCAGCGCTTCGAAACAATGTCTGCCTCAATGACAACGTTGAAAGCTACACTCTCTTCATGGCCGTAGGAAGTTTCTTCATTCCTGCGTTCATTATGTTAAGTACAAACACAATTGTTTATCGCATCGCCACGAGCCAGGCGAAGCGGATTTTTCGCATCGTTCCAGTAATGGGTCCAAGCGCTGAAAAACTCCGTAAAAATTTCCGAGCAGCGAAGCGCATTTCTCTCATTGTGGGTGCGTATCTCCTTTGCTGGGTCCCTCATATGGTGGTGCTGGTAATGGGGCTTATTATAGGGGCACGCAACATACCACTTTTTGTGTACCCAATCACTTTGTCCCTACAATACAGTTGCTCGGCTGTGAACCCATGTTTATTCTGTTTTACCAACCGAGAGATGAGAGGCACATTGAAAAGACTTGCATGGAGAGTCTTACGAAGGACACCCAACATAACACATTCAAGTAATGGAGGCTTGGCGCTAGAAAGGAGGCGATCCACTGCTCACAGAATGAGCCAAGCTACAGATATTTCTACTTTGGGAAGTAAAGGCGACTCAAAGACAACCGTAGGGGTATGCCCTACAGATTTTTCAGCTTAAAAAGAAAATGATGGAAGCCACTTCCAAATTTGAACCTTCTTCTTGACGAGCATGAAAATGGATCAAGTAATACAACATTTACGTGGACCGAAAATACGGCTTTTGCGACAAAAGTTGCCTCATCATCATCATCATCATCATCATCATCATCTTTATTTCCTTTATTTTAACAATACAAAAATTTATTCACAGCATTAACAACTAGAAGGCGAGGAGACCCAGGAAGCCACCAGGCTTATGGGAGAGCCACCTCACTTACAATAATAAATCAAGTAAAGGAAAAGTGCTGCGAATGTGCGGCTCGGCCAATTCACTGATTCTTTAAGTAAAAACTCTTACATTTTCGTCTTCAAGCTTAGAAGGTTTGACGAACGAGTGACTGAAACAGGAAGAGAGTTTCAAATTTTAGGACCTTGGTAGAGAATTGTAAATTTCTTGAAGAGGGGTATGAGCACCATGAAGATCAGTTTTACTGGTGGTCATTGTTCACTGTTGCTCCAAAGGCGAAATCTCGGAATAACATTTTTCATAAGCTCGGCAATCGTGCTGGGACAATTGCAACTTGAGAAATCAAAAACTGATGAGCGGCGGACCAAACGACTCTAATTAAATGGAACCTATTCCGCTGCAATTTATGCAGGTACACATCTTAATGTCAACTTGCTGAGCTAAAGACTCGAACTGGTCACCAAATGTCGCCATAAGAACAAATATTTCAAAACCGATAGCGGAAAACACGATTCCACCGTTCTCACATTGTAAATTAGAAACTTAAACGTTAACTTCTGCTTGCGCAGAAAAAATTTGGTTTGATGATTGCTTCGTGCATAAATTCGAGTTATAACTCTCTGTTTTTGAAAGCTATATTTTGCCATGCATAGACAACATAGCGCACGGGAAAACAACCTATGTACATTCATTGTTATCAAGGAAAAATAATAGAATTTATATATGTGTATGTGGGTGTGTGTTTGAAATGTTATATGTACTCGTCTTAGAAAACTTCCGAATGAAGCTTTACAAGTTTCGCAAATAAAAGTTGCTTACCTAGGCATCATATCTAGCGAGATATTTCATTCGTTTAGTCTAGATGTATAAATGCGCATAAAATTTCAAAAGAACCGAAATTCGCCCTCTGTACGTGGGTGGACGAAGAATTAAAAACAGGTGTTAAAGGTCTACAGGAACCTTTTTGTACAGATTAAAAAAAAAGGAAGATACACGATACCGAAAGATTTCTATGTTTGACATTTCTCCATTCGAGGACAGAATTAGATTTACAGGACCTTCTTTCGCACTTTCCTGCCTCTATGCTTGTACACGTTAGCATCAACTGTGGTTTTATTTCTTCTTGAGATTAGTCATAGAATTAGCTATGAATAGTAATTTATGAAAAGGCGGGAGGCTTGATTTGTTACCACTAGTAACTTTTATTTGCTTTATGATAACTGCCTAAACGTATTGTTATGAACAAATAAAGGTAGTGTTAAAACTGGGTTCAATCTGGCTGTATATGTAATTTGGAGGAAAACATAGCTGTTCTATAGTATAATACTCTGAAGGAGATGTATCTTTGAGCTTCTGGGCGGCAACGTCGTAACGTTTTGATTCAGTTCTTTTACTCTAGTAGAAGCGTTAATTGAGAAACTTTTTTACCGTCCGCCTTTATCTAACCGGGCTGAAAATTTGCAATCAAAGTTACCAGGAACAAAGCACTGACGAAACCTTAAATGTTGAAATTGGTGTGTGAAGAAATATTTATCTTTTTAATCAAAATTGAATTGTTTGAATGAAATGAATGCTGAAGGAGGGTACAAAATTATGTAATTATAATCTTTGCATATCTATAAATTTGAGGGTAGATATGTAGGGAGAGATGCTTATGTATAACACTGTAAAAAAGGTGATAGACCAACTGTAGATGTAAACAGATTTAAAAAGTATTCATCCCTTCTTTCCGTGGTAATCAGGGTTAAATTTTTCTCTAAAAACCAATTTGAGCTTGAAAACAAATAGTAGAATTATCAGAATTATATTATGCGAAAAACGGCAAAATTATACGCCAATTTTTTTAGACATATCAGAATAGTCTAATAATCTGATTCAAGAGCAATAAACAATGTAATCATGAATGAGGCATTCTACAAGTGTGTAGCTGACAGATGTCACTCGTGATAAGACTTTAATGTACAGGGAAGTTCTTGGTAACTAGAGGGGAGAAATATGAATCGGAACAGTGAAGGATTTAAGATGCAGAAGACCTGTACTGACTTTTGAACGAAGAATCAATGACGTGCAGAATATGTAGGCCATATTCCTTAACATGTACAGACAATAATTTGATCGGCACTGTATGATATATTTTAAAAGTCAATTCGGTGATGGGTCAATGCTTTCAATTATCAGGCATTTAGCAAAAATATTAAATAAAGGGTGTTTGAAAATACCATAGAATTGCCGCGGAGGCCTCCTACAGAAAAACCACCTTAATATGTCTAATGATGATTTTTTGCCTAAACAAACATTTTGCACGAACATTAATCTTGTTATGTTGAATGCAATGAAATAAGAAGGGAGGGATTACGAATTTTGGGTTTTGAGCTTCATACAAGTACAAAAAGTTACTATTAAGATTTTTTTTAAAAGACATCGTAGTTTTGCTATGATGACTTTTGTACCAGAAAACTTCTTTTATTTATTTAGTACCGACTGAAACTTCTATGATGTTGCTATCGATACACCCGTTTTCAATAACGTTGCAGTTTGAAAATATATATATATATATATATATATATAATATATACATCTTTTCTTGTCTCATTAAAAGAGACATGTATGTGTATATAGGACTACTACTACTAGGATGAGTCATTGCTGCTAGCATTATGCATGCTCACTAGTTTTTCTAGTTTGAGCACTCTGGCATGGCTTAGATGATCCCACATGTGTGAGATCACTTGGGGTGGCTATATGGCCTTACCTCCTGATGAGGCCCAGAAGGCCGAAACAGTACTGTCTGCAGTTAGTTTTATATATATATATATATATGGGAAAAAACAGAGACTATACTTTCATCCCTATAAGCCTATTTCGTGATTACTCACTCATAACTCAAAAGCTCCCTAAGGTTACCTCATAGCATGTCTACTAGATTACGTGGTGGGAGCTTTAACCGTTTGCTATCTATTCCCAAGGCAACGTGATGTACGCGCGAATGACCAGTTGATTGATAACGGTAATAGGATCGAGTGGAGTCCAATTCGGTCTGTAATCATACGTGTGATTAACAAAATTGGATGACAGCGAGGCGGGAGTCCGATTTGTCGATCACGAGTGTGATTACAGACAGAATTGGGCGACACGAATTCCTGTTACCAATTAAAAATAACCGCTTCAATTTCCGGAAAAAAAGGCTTACATTAAGGACAAACATCTCCAGTAGAGACAATGTCCGAAGTAAAAAAAATTTATCTGTTTTGGAAATTCCTCAGTTTTTCGATGGTTGTTGCTATGGTTATTGTGATCAATTCTGCGATTGGTGGATTTGGCTGAGTGGACTTACTATGATTGGCTGCTTCAACTGTCCGATTACAGGTGTCCGATTACAGCCAACTTCCCGATTACAACTGTTCAAAATGATAAGTGAGAAATAAAGCAGCTAATGCAGCAATCACATTTGAGGAAATTGTAATGGTTATGGTTTTGATTATCATCTTTGAAAGCGTTAACCGGAGCATTTAAAGTAACCATATGTTTGACGATATCCTATATCGTTTAGTCAACAATTATGTTACTCAAGGTAGCTATAATCCAACCCGCCTTTAGGAGTCTGTTCACTTTTGATTTCAATAGAGTTGAATCAACTCACGTTCTGCTAGGCGTTCATTATTGCCCCCTTATTCTATCTGTCTTCCTTGAGACTGAGCCCTGAGGAACGTTACAATATGCACAATAACAACAGACACAAGATGAGGTTTCAAGACAACGTTTATTTAAAAGTCAGATAGACTGACGGCCAGACAGTTAAAAAAATTTCGCAGAATGATGGCTATTTTGATGTTGAGAATTCTCTTTGTACCCAAGCAAGTAATTGCTTGCTTCTAATAAAATTCTCGCGGCCAAATCAGTAGCGAAATAGCTCACAAAGTATACTGAAGACCACGACATACCAAGAGGTAAACATGTACATATCGTTTTAAGCTTGCTTCCTATAATTACAACGATACCGATCAATTATGTCCTTAACTGCTTGTCTCATTTCTGTCATCTTCCAGCAGTAGAGAAACGGGTTTAAACTTGAATTCAAGAGAGCAAGAGATCCTGCGTATCTCATGACAATAACATAAGATACGGCACTATATGGAAAAAGAGTTTCAAAAGATAACATCGCATATGGAAGATAGCATGTAAGTAATGTTATTTGGACCCACATTGCAGCTGAAACAGTTTTTTGGTATTTTTCAATGTTCCATGTTGGGATTCCTTCCCTGTTCCGTTGTCCGATTTCATTATCATTATGTTCTATTTGGGTTCGAAGGCGAAGATAAATTCTCATGTAGCAGTAAACTGAGATCATTAAACATAACAAGATTATTGCTGATGTTACATTTGAAAAAAATAGAAGGCCAGTAAGTTGCTTCATCAGAGGGACGCTTAAACAGAGGAACCAAAAAAAAGCCAAGATTCCACCAACTCGCCTCAGTTTAACAACCTGTCTGTATCGCATGCTCAGAGACAGAGCAAGAAGTCTGTCTACACTTATTGCTGTCAATGTCATCAACGAAACTCCACTGAAAACAATGCCTGAAATGCCTACTACTGTTCCAATGTGGTTGCAAATTTGTCGCAATTCGTTTACTTCGGTAATCAATTCAGCGGCAAACATTGGCTGAGTGATGACACCAACGCAAAGATCAGTGAGGGCAAGACAGCGAAACATCAGCTTTGATGGCGGATGAAGGGAAGACTTTTTATGAAGGGCAATGAGTATCAAGACATTTCCCAGGCATGCAGTAATAGAAAAAATGAAGTTTAATATTGCAAGAAATATGCTATGATGTAATCCAAGCACATTTTCGCAATAAAGGGCACCAGCTGCCATTTTGGGTCCATTTTCAGTGATGTTGGACATTCTCCTCCTGCAAGGTAATGTTGTTCATTCGCTCATCAAAATTACGTAACGTTCTAATGTAGATTTCGCCCACCTTCCTTCAATTTTCCATGTAATACTGCCAAACATTATCCTGAGAAAGGTGTGAAATTCTTATTCATTTAACATCTATGTGTGACATTACGATTTTTCAGACAATTACCCTCCAACGCGTTATTTGCTAATGTTTATCTTTGTAAAGGGCTAACCGAAACGGCAGATGTTTAAAATCCCCTTCGGCCACTTTGAAAATTGGCATATTTTTAATTTTTGTTCGCTCAAAAACTTCTAAATATGTATAACCTTCGTTTTGAATAATATCATGTTCCTAAACGTTGCGGTGATGATAATTGCGTTTTTAGTAATAAGACGACAATGTTAATGTGTTTATAGATCCGGTGTGAGATGTATGCCAATAATGTATGGAAGATATTGCTTGAGCAAAAATGAAATTAAAAAGTTCGTTTCTGGGACCGATTATACCTTCCTAGCAAAGAATATTATTTAATGTTAATAATAAAGCAGCCGCTGAAACATTTAGTGGGTGGCAGTACCAATGCTATTTGGTAAACATCTTCTAGCAACAGCGAGCAACAGCCTAGCAAACCCTTCCCTTCCGTTCCTCATTTTTCCCGCTTTAAGTGGACAGTTTTAGATAAGAAATCTTGCGTGAGAGATGAACAAAGACATGCAAAATTTCACATTCAAAGTTCTTATGTCGTGTTTCAGTCCTGCATTTTAAAGCAATACTCCTAAACATTTGCATCGCATAAGTTACTGAATCATTCAATTCTGTGACAGATTACCTCACTCGCGTCGTTAACAACCTAGTAGCTTCCACATGATTACTGAGAATTTCTGCCTCCGAGTGAAACTACAAGCTGACTTACCTTATAAATCCTGACTTAATGCTCCTTGTAAACCAGGCGGTGTATCGCTTATCAAAATATTCTGGAATGCATTAAAAAGCTCTGTATCTTGGTCAATATCGACCTGGCTTCGCCTTTCTAGCTATTACAATTAACCCGCATTAAAGCACCCGTATTGGCACGACCTCGAACCTATTAGCAGCGGTCGGTTTTGAATGAAATTAGTATCGATGAATCTTTTGACAACCTATAGCTAGCATTCTGACATCTGTACGGTTTTGTGTGATGTAGATAGTTAGTCAGCAGGTGCGTTTTATTCATGCCTAAATTTTTTTAGCAATTTTTAACTCATAGTGTATTTGGGGATGGGGTTATCTGTGTTTCGCGATGTTCTTTTGATGTGCAACCGGTTACACTGCAGCAGGTTAATTTTCGTCGATTTTGCTGCAGTGATAAACTTTCTGGGTGTTCAGTTTTAATTATCCTCGTAATTTCGGTGGGTGGAATACAGCATTGGTTGCAAATTTTGACCGGAATCGATCATTTCAAAGTACCTTCTAAATTTATTTGTTTTTTATTGTTTGGATTTGACCGTGTGAAATGACAAGTTAAACTAAAAAGCTTCAAACTATGCAATATCCAAAATCTCTTTGCTTTTTTGTTTGATCAGTAAAATAACCTTTTACAGCCATCGAGATAAACAAGTTAAATATATCAATGTTGGCAGAGAGCCCGACTTTTTCAATTCTGCCTCCGTACTTAAGCTACGAAAGGCTGTCTTCCAGCCTTGACCGTCGAAAGAGCGCAAAAATAAGAAATAAAAAGTATTGGCAGCGTGAAGAAAACTGAGACCGGAGAGAGACCATGTGTCTCTTCTTTGGTTTCATCCTGTTTTGCTGAAGGTCATAAGAAGACTTTAGTTTGTAATTAAAACGTACAATGTTTGTTAGGGGTAAATGTGAATATTCCCAATCCAGTGTTGTGTTGTGGAACTTTGACTGGAAGTACATCGAAAGTTTGGACTGACGTAGTTGTAAAGGCCAAAGTTTTGTTCATGGGGACTTGCACCTGCTTCGCCGTTGAATTGGCATCCACCACTTTTGGCGCTAACTGCACTGTTAATGTGCCACATCTCGTTCGGTGCTTGCCAAGTACCTGCTGTGCATCCCTGACAAGCAATGTTCCGTATGTTGATAAGTTCATATGTGCGACACTTGGCTCTCCATACACCAAACAGATCATGTCCTTCCAGTTTTGCGCGTGCGTAGTCAGTATGAACGAGACCATCGGCTGGAAAGTTGCAAGTGGCTCTGAGATGGGTTGAAACATCAGCGATTGACTTCATATGAGCCAAAGATAAGCGATAGGCACTCCAGTTTATGGTGCTCCCCTCTTCGTTTACAGGGCGGTCCACACTAAAGCCGCTTCTCTTAAACTGGTGGTTGTTTGCAAGCGAATAGGACTGTATCAGCGTCCAAACATACCCAACCTCAGAGTTCAAGTCGCAGTAGACTCTAAAAATACTTTTCTGGGCATCGTACACATCAAACATTCCAGACACATTATGGCCATTTTTTGCAACTTCCATGCAATTGCGAGGATGCTTTATTTTCTCGCACTGCTGACCAGTGTAATTGGCAGGACAAGTGCAGTTGTACCTCACTGTGGCAGGGTCACAAATCTCCTGACAGGTCCCTCCCTGGAGACAAGGATTGTCCTTGCAACATCTGTTAACACACTGGCCAGTTTTACTGGACAAAGGTCTTCCTTTCTGATGAAAACAAATGAGAAAGGAGATATCAGTGATAAGGTTCGCACGAGTATTGTACCGTGTTCGCTGAAAAATTAAATTTTTTTTGATTCAGAATCCCTATTAAATACTGATAGATCACGACGATTAAGAACAGAACTTCTAGGTTTAATTAAGAATCGCACGAGATCAACACATAGCCTGTCTTTCTGTACAATAGTTAGTTAGTTACCTTCACTATGAAATTTTTTTGTCTATTTTCATGGAGCTGAAACCCACTCTAAGGAGAAGGCCCTTTAACAGTGGGCATAGGTTGAGAATGAGGTTTTTGGAACTCCGATGTGGCCCATGAAAACTTACGCGAAAATACAATAAATAATAATGAAAGAGGTTTTAAAAAATAAATCCGCAGCGAGTAAGGGAGGTTCTTTTAGTTAGCTTGCACTTACATCAGACACGGAGTACTCCCTCACAAGATCGTAATACAATGCTCCATATTTGTATCTCAGTGCAGCTGGTTTCATGTACCTGTTCGCATCATTCATTTGACAGTTTCCTTGTGCAGTTTTATGTTCGTAGTTCATGGAGACACAACGACAGTCATTTATGCACAGGATGTGACATTCAGGAATCGTGGTAACTGTTGCAACTTTAAACACGTGACCCTCTAAGGCGTGGTCGGCGACGAGGTTCTGTCTTATATGGAAACTGAATGTTCGGCAAATGTTATCAGCAGAAACGAACTCTTGTCTTAATATTGAGAGTAGTAAAATAAACTTAAACCATCGAGGAATCTCCATTCTACTTCTGTGAATTAAGCTTGAAATACTGAAAAAGATAAGTATAAACATTTTTCACATAGTCGCAAAGCCTCGCTTGAAGATGGTCAGAAAGATAAGTTCTCTTTTTCCAGGAGATTGTTTGAATGAATGATATTCAATGCATTAAAATCAATTTAAGTTGTAAATAATCATTTCTTGAATAAACTGTAATCACCTTGTTTTCATGTTATCTTCAAACTCATTTACCGTAGGTTACTACTGGGGTCTGTTCTGATTTCTGAAATATTAGTATCATACTGCCTTCTCGGAGTTCCACTCCGGTGAAAACCAACGAAATTACATCGACCATCTCTCGACTTCTTTTTTATTTCACAATTATCATAAAGAATGTTTTATTTATTTCCGGGAATCAATCCAAGGCAGGTGGTGACATTCTGCGGCGATGAGAAGAATTCTGAGTGCTCGATGTAATACGCCACAACTCAAAACGTGTATTTAGATAGAGTAATTAGGTTACCGAAGATAACTTAGATATTGGCAACTGTCTGTTTTAATAAAAGAGAAATGTATGTTTTATTCAGAAAAAAAAATATCTTGTTCAATAGCTAAAAAGTGAGTGTTCTAAAATGTACGCAGTGAAAAATTCTAGTCATGAGAGAATTGACAGTCCGTATAATCTTAATTAAGGACAGTAGCCAGACTAAGGGTTGACACATTTATAATTACCGATTCAACTGTATGTAAAATTTTCAAATTTGTAATTGCATTTTCTCGGTAACAGCAAAACGTGGGCCTGTGAAAATAAGCTGTGTGATCTTGTAATTAGTGACTATAATATTCAGCAATTCCACACAAATAAATAAAGACGAGGGTTTCAATGGGGTTAACCGTAAAACGGCCAAAAAATTAGCAGTTAAGCCTTAAAATTAACAAAATTTAACTGCAAGTCGTTAAAAAAGCAAACCGTAAAAAAATTTCTTTTAATTGTAACGGAAAAAAAGTTACGGTCAGAAATAACATGGCCATAATTAGCCATAAACTGTAGTTGGTCGCAAGTCGTTAAAAAAACGTAAACCGCAAAAATCTTTCTTTTTTAAAATCGGGAATAAACTGACCGTTCGCAATAAAATTCTAATCGTTAGCCGTAAAGATCATCACCTCATTGAGACCCTTTAAGAGGAGTTTGTTGATTCGAGTGACATGTTGCAAACTCAAGTCTCATTAACAATGAAAAGCGGCCCAATGTGAAGAAAATAGATTGAGGCCTTGAGCATTGAAAGACTCGGAATAAAGAAGAAATACATTCGCTCTAGCCCTAAATTTTGCAATGTAATTATCCATTAACGTTCCACTGAGGGACAACTTCGAACGTTTACCTAATAACATTGCCTCTACTTACTTTTGTTCTTCTAAGAATGTATTCAGCTCCTGGAAAAGATTTGGAAAAGATCAAAAAGGGAAAAGGAAAGAAGTATGGGCCCGGGCGCTCCAGAAAATTTTTTCATTATCGAGAAAGGTGTTTTTTTTTTGGGTCTTGTCACGAACGTGGGACAAAGAAAAAAGTCTGAGTCCCCATGGAGTCGAAACTTAGACCTTCGGATTCCGCGCTCCGATGCTCTAACCACTGAGCCATAGAGACTTAACCATGAGCGAAGTTGCGAAAAAACTTTTCATCATTTCCGTGAGACAAACGCAACCGGTTATTTTTTTCCCAGCTAATTTTTATTTTCAAAGGCGCCGTCTTCTTGCCTCGGAGCAGGTCATAAATTACTGAGAACAGATTTTGCAATTTACAAGCCACGGTTTGAATAAAAACGTCAATCATGAAAATTCGATCTCGCTATTAAAATGTGAATCTTCTAGGAAGAGGCCCGCCAAAATGTTTCATTTTACGCGGGAATCAAACGATGAAGGTAAAAGATTGCTACCTCGGGATGCTACACGCACGACGATCAGTAATCAGGTTAGTCAGAATACAGCTCCCAAGTGTTCGCTCGGCTGCATCTCCGGATCTTAGTACTTTTAAATTTGCGCATCCATGTGATTGACACTTTGTGGTTAACAACTATTTTCCCGTCTTTCAGTACACCTAAAAGTGACAATTTGAAAATTTGGCGTAAGCAAATTTTATCGAAATTGTTGGAAGAACCAAACAAATTTTGTCAGCACGGCGCCCCCGCGCTTTGTGTCTATGCCCTTTATAATTAAGATCGTGCTGATGAAAATGAAACAGCTGTCATTTAGCACTGCTAATACTGAATTATGTTACGGAGAATTGTTGAAACGTGTAGAAAATCCGAAGTTTCATTTTCGGGTACTTTTATAGCGTAAATCTTCACATTCTTTTGGTATGAATACCGTGAATTCAGCGCGCAATTATTCTCCACTAGAATCTGCTTTCAACTCAAATTGAGTAACTTTTAACTTACTCACCTGCTGCTGATGAATTGAGAGCAGATTAGACGTGAATTAGTCAGAGCTTATCTGCAACTCCAGTGCGGCTGCCACCTGTCAGTCTTCCCTTAGAATTACCAACCCAGTTTTGAAATTAAGCTAAACAATAATATACATCACAACGAACTTTAATTACATTGAAAATACCGCATGCAAGCATCTTTCTTTTCATCTAGGCGATTCGAAACTAGATACTGTTTTCAGAAAACTTTGTCTTTGAACGCACTCAAAAGTCTTTGAGTGCGTTCTGAAATACTTTTCAAATCTTTACTTTTTAAGATGATTTCGGGCATGTTGCCAAATTAATTAGCATTTTTCCTTTCTACTCTTCTCCTCTCTAATCTTTCAGTATTCACTAAGTTACAATATTGTTAGTTATCTTGCTTTACTTCGCTCTGTGATTGGTCGAAAAAACCCGTGCCACCAACTCAACCAATCAAATGCAAAACTAAAACCATTTCCAACCTGCTCACTCGCGTTTTCCCGCGCTTCAAGCCGGTTTCCTGTTTTTACTTCGATTCCTTATTGGTTAGTAATGGTGCAAACCTTTTTTATGATTGGTAGTTGAGTCAACTTCATGCGACAGCCAAAACAGGGTGCACCAAGGAAGTGTGCTGAGTGACGACCTGGGTTAGCACAAATGACTCAAAAAGTACATCACATTCTCAGGGAACGTTTTATTTTATTTATAAGCAATACTAACCGGCACACTACTCGCTTAGTAATTTGTAGACTGAATACAGACTATTGCATCCATCACTATTGTCCTGCAAATATGATTATACAACTGGTTAAAACTGAACAAATAATATTAATATTCTCTATTCAGTTTTAAGGCTTATCCTCTTTTCAAGTAAAGCTTGAATTATATGATGATATAATTTTTTTTTCATCACCTAAACAATACACCATGTAAGTCGACACACTATCCACTTCTTCTCTCTGTGCTCAAACTCAGAACTTTAATTTCTGTTACAAAGCTCTCTATTTAAAATTCATCAATGTATCTGCTCTGAATTGGATGGGTGCATTTAAGAGGCGCAAGGTCTGTCAAGTGAAGGCTATTGTTTGACTACTGTGTACCATTATTTTCTGTTGACCACCGAGCCAGTGTCGACTGGCTTATAAAGCTGAAAACTGAATTCCCATTTATGACAGCAAACTGTAACTTCACCTTTGTGGCTTCGCCAATTAATCTGACTTACAACAATACTGTTTCATTAAATCCTTCACTGCTTGCCTTATTCCGTTCATCTTCCAGCAATATAGGAACGGGTTCAGACTCGAATTTAAGAACACAAGAGATGTCGTACATCTTATACCAAGTGTTATAGACACTGCACTGAGAGAGAAAAGTGCCCCAAAAAGACCCACTAATGATCGGGGAAGATAACAAGCGACTAACGTTATCTGGACCCAGGCCCCTGCAGAAACGGTCCTACGATATCTGGCTACATTCAGTGGAATTCCGGGTCCAGCTGGCTGCTCTACGTGGCCTTGTATTTGAGCTTGATTATGGCGGAGACGAAGTAAGATCCTCGTGTAACAATAAGCTGAAATTATCAAGCAAGTCAGAGTGACTAAAGTAATGACATATCCAGTAATTATGGAACCCAAAATAGGCCAGAAGGCATCAATAAATGCACAAATTACACCCAATAGCCAAATAAAGCTTACAGCTATACCAACTCGCATCAGTGTTACAACATGTCTGTACCGCAGGCCCATCAACAGAGCGAGAAGTCTGTCCACACTTATGGCGGTTACTATCACGCCAGATACTAAGCTAAAAACCAAACTTATCTCATCCACCCACTTGCCAAGGCGGGTGCACAGATGTGGCCGTTCGTTTATATCCAAAAGCAACTGGGTGGCAAACAGAGGCTGAGAAACGAAGCCAACAATGAGATCAGTGATGGCAAGGCAACGATACAACAGTTTTGATGGCGGATGAAGGGAAGACTCTTTGTGGAGGGCAACGAGGATAACGAAGTTTCCCAGTGATGCAACGACGGACAGAATGATGTTGAATGCTACGAGAAATACAACATTGTACGTCCCATGTACATTAGAGCAATAAAGTGTCGTAGTTGGATGGCGGTGTTCACTTTCAGTCATGTTCACCATTTTTCTTGTTTCCTTAAAATTGTTTCAATAAAAATTTGGTGAGTGTGGTTTATCAGAAAGTCTCACAAATCTGATAAATCTTACGAAGGAGAGTGATTGCTACTGAAATGGACTCTAAATCACAAGATCCTGGATGATAAAATTGGGTAAGTGTGGCCCATTAGAAAGTCTAACAAATCTGATGTATTATGTATCTTACATATAGGAATGATTGCTTCTGGAATGGACTCTAGATCACAAGGTCCCAGATGAAGCCCTAGACGGGTCATTGAGATTTTTTCGGAAAGGACTCAACTCTGATAGTACTTCTCACTTTCCAGAATTATAAATGGATTCCCGTGAACTTGAGGTAAACCTGACAAAATGCTGATTGGTAACCTTGCAATGGATTAACTTCCCATCCCGGGAAAAGGAAAAAATACGATTTCTACGTTTTAACGTTTTAACGTCACAAAAAAAAAATCCATAAAGTAGGGATAACGAGTACGTGCTCACCGCTTCATAATGGTTCATAGTTTATTGACATTGAATTCGCTACTGTCTTGTCATTAATATTCTCCAGTTTTTTTTTGTTGAATAAATTACTTAAATCAATATATTATAACTTGATTCCTTGATGAATTTCCTTACCTTCACTGGATATCTTTGAGACCATCGTAAGTGATAATTTCGAAGCAACTTAAAAGGGTCGATTTTACATAATACAAAGTGACCGGTGGAAACAATTTTGAAGCCAATACAACCAATTGAAATTAGGAAACTAAGTTAATCATCGAAAACAATTTTTTCGATAACACTTCATGCTATTTTTGTTTATCACTTTTTGAAAATATCAGCCAGCTGCAGCCATTAATTAGGACAAAAAAGGTTTTATACAATCCGTTTTGGAAACATGTTTTGTTCTGGTCCAATTCGGTTTGCTTGAAACATTTCTGATCACTTTAAGTTGTGGTTATTTTTATCATTTCCCTCTCTGACACTTGCTTTACTAGATTAAGGTGTTAAAACGTTCCTCGTCACGAAAGTTCTTTTTTTCGTAACAAATTCACAGAAGAAGAAAATTTCAAGAATCGAATCAAAGAACTCGTTGATCTTACTTTTCTTAATGGCATGCATTTTACTAAATTAAAACAGCGATTGATAGTTTTGACTCTTTTTTCTCGCCAGTTTAGCCAACCACACACATCTAATGAAGAGTATCTAGAGCACTTAATAGAATTTACCTCTTTTTTCAACTCATGGTGTTTCTAAACAGTCATTCTTAGCCAGAAAGAAGACAACACTGAAGCAATGCGCTTATACTCGAATCTAGGATCCACTTCCTTCGAGATTTGACTGACTGCATTTGACAATGAAATTTGACTGTCTACCATTGTGTACGTTCAATATTATTTCAGATACACACTGGTTTAAAAATATCTATCGTTGTATAAATTTGTTAATCAAGTCATAAAAAAGGGGAAAAACACGCACACATCTTTTACCCACGACAGCAGCTCGGGTCTTTTTTTTTTAACTTACTTCAGAAGTACAGAGTCGTGCAGTCATGCAGATATCTAATATATTGCTTTCATTTTTTTAATTTAGATTTGATAGTGGTCATGTCCAAAAATTATTAACGGTAAATTTTTTTTTTTTTTTTTTTACATCCCCCGAACCTTTATCAATAAAAGATCATTCCAATCCTATATTAAATAAACCCCATCGATTAATCTCAATGTAACTGATCTAATTGGAAGGAAAGTACCTGATCTGTGCTTGTCTGATCCAGTATTTGACATAAACGTTTCTTTGCTTCGTGTTGCGATCAAGAGCTGACCTAATAAAGAGGTGAATAAACTTCTGCTGATCATATTTACTTGGAGCAACATTAGAATTTATAGTATTTAGCGGAACAAAACTGGAACAAATAAGGTCAAATATCAATATCCTTTTACCACTTTTATGTTTGTAAGAAATTATAAAACCAGAACCTGGTTTCCTGTTATATTTTTAATTTCTGTAAAAAAAACAGAATTGTTATTCAGAGGATAACTTTTTTACTCCTCTAAAAAAAAGTTATTGAGAGCGCTGAATGCCAACAAACTTCGGTTTTAGTTAAGAGAGGCATAGAAAAATTTACTTTTCTAGCAGCCAATGTTTGATGAAACAATACAACGATGGAATTACCGCGTCTTGCTTTGATAATAGCCTAGCACAAATTTCCTTTCATCTTCAGTTACAGAGACGCCTTTTCCTTAATGCGATGAGTTACCATAGCGACACTGCAGTCTCTTAGAAACGCACTTCAATCATATTTGGCTTTTCAAGTCCATACCTCCAAATAAAATTCTGTTCCCCGAAAAAAATCTATTTTGCTCCAGCAAAGCATGAAAAGTCATACTTCTATAATTCTTTTTTCCTTGAAAATATGTGTCGTAGGTTCCGAGCAATATTCAAGTTTGAAACTATGGATTTGTCCTGTTTTTTCAGGAAACAAATAAAAAAGGGTAATCAAATAATCTTAAAGAGTGCCTGCAAAAATGAAAACAACTATAAAACTCATTTGGGCTACCTAGATGCGTTTAGGCCTTCCTTCCTTCCGCATCTCCAAACAATAATTTTATCACTAATTGACTGATATTTCTATTACCGGCTTTTCCTTTGTAACCTTTACACTCAGTCGATCGCCGCCACGCGGGAAAAATTTACATCGGCCATCCGTTCACATCGACCAGTTCTCTAAAAGCACTGAATTACCAGCTTAACATCATATGAATAAAGAGAATAGCTTACTGAAAAAAGTTGTGTTGCTGCATAGAAGGAGGACATAACGAGATAATTTAATTAGTTTTATGAACTGAGTTGGTAATGTTAATTCAGTAAGCCACTGCAGAGAGCTTCTAGAAATCCTCTTCGGTGGCGAATTGACATTATTAACTCAGTTGATAACATCAAATCAACATCATAGGTTTCATCAATAAGTAAGAGATCGATTTAGGAGGAGCTGAAATAATTGGCAGATGTATGCAATGGAAACATTCTTCGTGAAGCTTTTCTTTCCGCTCCGGCAATCAACTCCATTAAAACACGTGTCTATTCTGAACATATACAGAAAACAGAGAATTTAAGAAACAGTCAAAGATTTGTCAAATTATCGTCATAGCGCTGAGTCAAAATTTTCAGAACACTCATTACTATGCATATCGCGTCTTTCATTATTAATTTTTACTCGTATGAAATCTTAGATGCCGCATATTAACATTTTATAATAGCGTGCTGAACACGTCGTACAGAACGAAAATCATTTTTTACATCCATCTCTTAACCATGTATATTTCTCGTTAGAAAATACACTTGTTCCTTTAGGTATTGCTTATATAAACTATATTCCGTCTTAGTACCACTTTAGATAATAATAATTTTAGCTTCAAGTTCCTATTCTTCTGAGATTTCCTTAGATCCTTTTAGAAACTCGGTCGCGCGGGCCTCCATACAGGCGCGATAGCCCTCCCGATGATACGCTGAAAACTGGGCAGGCGTGAAGAACTGGTTGACTGTAGAATGATACGGGAATTTACCACAAAGAGAACTTGATAAACATTTCAAAATAGAGCAATGACAGCATTCAAAGAGGCAAAACGTCAGGCGCTCCACCTCTTCTGGTTCCAAATCAGGTCCAGTCCCCCATAGGCCAGACTCGATATCGGTTTTAATGTGATCATTCAACTCGTCCCAGCTCTTTCGCCCTCCCGGGAGGCCATCATTTGGGTGACGTGGAAGAATATAAAGCACTTCTCCGTCACCAACTTTCTGTTCTTCCCCATCTTCGTTTAAATCGTAATACTCCACTTTAAATTGATAACTCCTCGGTCTCTTTCCCATTGGCTTATCGATTACCTTTGCTCTGATGTCTTCGATTACATCTCTTCCACCCATTCCTAAGAATGAACATCGTAGTTTTTGTCGAGCCTGTTCCAGGGAAATGAGCAGATCTCTTGCTACTCCCGAATCCTTTTCTACAATTCCCCCATCGACCACCAGGATCTTCTTTAACCTCCGTTTCAGTAAAGATAAAAGGGCCAGGTTTTCAATATGGCCTCCGTCACTCAGGTAAAGAATTGAAGGGGGAGTGGGACCGACATTGTCTACCCTCAAAAGTTCCCGGATGACCCTGACATGATACACGTTGATGATACACCACCTACAGAAAAAGAAGTGTACAACTTAAGTGTTGGCTTCTCATAGATTGTCATGTTTGATAAGCATTGTACCGTAATATATAATTGTAAGTTACAATGTGAAGCGTTTTATGGGCGACTCAAAAAATATTTTCAAGATTTTTCGCTTATTCTAGTCGATTAACATTCTTTTATGTCACCATGCGAACAGTTTGCCACTAAGCTCAAGTTCCACATATCATAGACGATTTCTCTCCCCCTATTCGTTAGTATTCCGAGCCTGGATGATCTCGAAAAGCTTGAAACAACTCAGGTTTTTTTTTTTTTTCGGTCAGGTTAACAATACCTTACAAAATGTTCCCAGCATCTGGGATTTTCAGCGCCCGTGGGCATGACGGCAATCAGCGTCGACACGCAGAAGAACACGAGAAAGAAGATGACGGCTCTCTCGTTCCAGACCTCACTTCCGCCCAGGATTGGTATCAAAGGTAGCAACAATATGGGAAGTGCCAGAACAAGATGAGTGAGAACAGCGAGAAACTGGGAACAATTGGAAGGAAAGAGAGTGCTGGTCAATCATTTGCTGCTCAAGGATCATTCTTCCAAAGTCAAATAAAATTGTAAGGCTTGTTTAAAAATATATATTTTTCTAAGGGTAAAACCCTCTTTACCCGACAGTCTCTAAATCATTACAGATCCTTTTTTCTTAATTTGTTGAGGGGAAGAAATCGCTGGATGTTCACCTTCTTCCTTGACCTTGATCATTATTGTCCAACGACCGCTTCATTTACTTATTTGTTTCACTGACTTACTATGGATATCACGTTTAGTGAATTATGTTTACCAGTATAAACTGTAACATACCCTTGAAAAGCATCCCCGACATCTGGATTCAGTTTTAATAGCTGCCCCCATCCCTATTCCAAGCATAATCTGTAAGTTCTGTAATTGTTGAAGGGTGTACTCCCCCATTCGATACGACACTACAGCTGCTGAAGTTGCCATGGCATCTACTAACTTAATATCTGCAGGATGGAGCCTGCTTTCGAACTGTTTTGCTCCCCGTGTATTGTCAATTCTTTCAATTCTGGAGGGCGCCATACTAAATAGCTCGTACGAAGATCCTCTAGTGGAGAAACAAAACAATTTCCATAAGACGTGGAACGTTTTCTTGGAGGGAGAGTTCAGGAAAAGGGAATCAGTTTTATCGAATTCTGAGAAGTGAACACCGGCCAGCACATCTCAGGACAGGTCCTCTACAAGTCGCTTTGAGTGTCTACTGCGTAAAACTAGCTTGAATTCTTGCGACTGATCACAGCGACAATATTGTTCCGCGAAGACAATGATTTCACGGTTAAGATTATGCAAGATAATACAAGACCACACCCGATCTTGAGTTCAGACCGCGTTTGAAACCTGAGGAAATGTTAAAGCGGTAACTTTCATCCTAACATTCAAAGCATCAAGGAATCAGTGAGCCTAAGTCAAATCCTTTTTCAAGTGAAAATTTTGACATTTAGTCACTAACACTCCTGTTTTAATCTTTCATGTATTATTTATTAAGATAAATTGGTTGAATTCCTGTTACCTATGTGAAGAGGGAACTCTCCATTCATGGACAGTCGTATTGCAGATGTATTCAGGTGAAATGCCAGCCAGATCGTCAAGGGTCAAAGGTCGATTCAATCTCTCAGCAAGTGAACAGCACGTAAACAAAGGAATGAAGTCTTGACACGTGAATCCGGAACAAAACGTGGACGAAGTAGTCTCGGGAGAGTAAAACGCTCTCTGGAGTCGCCACCTTGAAAAGGACAAGTATCATTTCAATAATTGACTTAAGATGACCTCTCTTTTAAAGGATACTTGTACGAACGCAGACATTTCCTTAAAAAGAGAAGAACAAGAAGAGAGCTAGTCTAGACAGTCAACAGTTTTGAAATCAAATGAAAGTCGATGCAACAAAGTAGTGAACCAAAATGGTGTATCACTCTGAAATAGGCTCAAGAAGCGGTGAAATCTCCTCAAATTGTCTAGCATGTTCTAGTTTAACACTTTTTTAGTCTATAACGTATTTTTACAACAAGAAATACATAAAAATATTTGAGCCCTTGTGGTCTTCTCTTGCATGCGATGATCTGAACGAAAGATACCATATGAACGAAAGTGACATTTTGGTTGGTATATTGCTATTGTTTTACTATTTTTCCATGGCGTTTCATCGTATCTCAGAGGTTTTACTTTTGAATTGACGAAAGAAGTGTAGTGTTTCTTCCTATATTTGGATATAAATACCTTTACTAAGCTATTAAATAATCTTCATTTTATTGATTAGCACACACACTTGACCGCAGTCACGTGATTATCCTTATATATCATTTCTTATGAATAAGTTCATGGCATTCTAATAAAGTAGTTGTGTAGAGCACTTGGTCTGATTCACGGGTTACTCTATAGTTGTATATCAAACCCTAATACTCAACAAAAAGGCACCATCAAGACAATTTGATAAACTGAAATTCATCCTTAAATTATCAGTTTCACCACAAGTATCATTCTTATCATCATCATCGTTATTGCCATCGTCATCATTATCGTCTTTGTTGTTATTGTCATCGTCACAATCATTGTCAACGTCATGTCATCGTCACTATCGTCGTTAACGTTACTATAATTACTATCGTCAATACCTGTTGTAAGCATGGAGAGCACTTCTCTGAAACACACCCAGTAAAGGATGGATCCAGATTAATATTCCAGAGATCCATATTAGGATATAAAATGTAACTTCGTCGTATTTTACAGAGAGGACTTCTGTTTTATAGACTCTCCACTTAACAGCGTATGCATAACAATAGACAGCCACTGCTAAAGAAGCTTTGTTTCTGAGCGGTGGTATACCAAGCCATAAAAAAATGCTCAGAATTAAAATCATAGCATTCAGCCAATAAGGAGTCACAACCACAAACTCTTCTATGAACCACGGGAAAAAAACCATCGCAAACACGAACCCTGAGAAGTTAGACAGGAAGCTGGCAAACGGTTTTAAAGATGGACCCACCACTTTTTTGATGACAAGGAAGAAAAGAAACAACAAAAAAAGGAGAGCAAACGTAATGATCGTAGAATACATTTCAGGGCCGAATTTGGGGACGCATTCGACTGTTTCTGTCATATTGAAAAGCACGGAGGCTGCGGGATTTTCCACAAGTTCAGCTTTGGTGAAATTGTGTTTTTCTTCATCGGGGCAGGTAAAAGGAATTCTCATCAAATAACCGAAGAAGCAATCAATGATGAAAGCAACAGGAAAAGCAAAACCAGACCAGTTGGAGACTGGAAGAATGATTACCACTAATATGAGAAGAAAGAGAAGTGTAAAGGTATCTAAGATCCCCTGCAGAGGTTTCTGCCAATCACAAATAATTCCGACTCTTCTACGCATGTTTGCGAAGAATTCCCGATGCCATTTTGGATCGTCTTTCTGCTCATTCCGGTATTTCCAGTCCAGATAAGCTGTGCCTGTGTAACCGCCCCCTGAAGTACAGCTGAGGTAGTCTGGAATAGTCTCTTTTTGAAGTAGTCTGCGCAGCACACCGGAGCATAGTGCCGCTGACCGAATACCACCACCTGAGAACGCCACACCAGAGGTAGTCATTCTACAATGGCTCTATCCGCGTATGACACATACTGGAACGAAAAGATACAATTCATTTATGAACGTAATTTTTAAGAGTTTTTTAATCCCTTAAATCCTTTTACGGCGAAAACAGTGTTTGTTTAATGACAACTGAGAAACCTTAAATACTCCATAAATCTTCAAACCAAGTATCGTTTCACCATACGTGCAATATCTCCTCTAATGGGAGGAAAATAAAATAGTTGGTTACGGGAAATTAATCAGTCTTAACGAACTGAAGCAAGGATATTTTAACTCTATAATTACGCTGAAAGGTTGTAAAAGTATTTGGAGAAAGATGTCTAGATTGTATAGTAACGTGCTCAATAATCACTATTTTAATTTTTCGTAACTTCTTTTCGCTTCCTTTCAACAAAGCTATCATTGTCTCCAGTCAAGTAAGTCCAAGTCTCGTTCATAATGAATTTCACTGAATAATAAGAATTATTTCTCTATTTACTCACTGCTATTACATTCTTAAACCAAATTTTTTAAATAATTTGGAGGATTGGTAGAACAGAAAATTAGTAGGAGGAGGACACTCATGATTTACAGTAAGAGTTCAACATCGCTTCTTCAATAATCTCAAAGAAAATATGCGGATAATAAAACGTTTCATTGCTGCTAAAGGGTGATGAACATGAATGAGAGGTTTCATGTCAAATTTAGAGTAGAATCTATAAATATGAACAGGTTTTTCCTGAAATTAGTTACTGCTCATTTGCACAGTTTTATCAATGTTGGAAACGTTTCTGTTTGATATGGAGAGGCACCCTTCAAAAACTGTTGTTTGAAAGTCTGTCAGATGTGTTCTTAAACGGTACCAGCACTTAACACCAGGGTACCAGTAATCCCTTAAAACTCACAGCATAAATGTATCTTTCTACTAGTAAATACCTCGTTACATGGGGACTTTTATTTTCTTCCTTGTGGGATTTTTATCAATCCTTAAGAGCAGACTGAGCTCTCTGTCAATCAAAAGGATCTGATCTGCGAAGGATTCCCAACTTGATTCTCAATTGTTGACTGAGGAAGTCACACCGGTAAGATTACGTCCACATCTGCGTATGACTCAAATCAGAACAAAAGGTATAAAACAATTATCAACTTCTTTTTGACATCTTTCGAATCGTCTATTCCCTCTTTAGCTTAAACAGGGTTTGGTCAACGACAACTGAATAAAGGGGGCAAGTTTCCAAAGTTGTAACTCTGGCGCTGCGTCGGTGGAGGGTAGAGCAGGACAACTTGGTCTCATCAGCTGAGTTGATAATGTAAATTTGCCGCCGTAAAGAGTTCATAAGGCTCACGTTTCGAGTGAAAGTCCTTCGTCGGAGTCCGCCTTTGTTAGACCTTCGTCATTCGCGCGCTCCGACGAAGGGCTAACGCCCGAAATGTCAGCTTTAGAATATTTTTATGGTGGAAAACTCTCGCACGTTATCAACTCAGTTGAGGAAACCAAATAATCTTGTAGTAACACATGAGCAGCCACAATTTCTTATCTTCCTCATCCTTTTTCTTTTCAAGAGTTACTCTGGTCCACATGCAACAGTTCACAGCGGTGAAAATAAAACAACTTTTCAAGAGAAAATAATGGATCATACCCCACTGAATCAAAGATATTTAAGCGAACTTGCTTTAAATTTTGCGATCCTGTAGAACGAGGCAGGCTGTAAAATTTATGAAAAGAACGATATGTACATTATTACATAGCGCGTTCGACTATTTGAATCAAGTGAAGTGAAATTAAATTTTCTCCTATTTCAAAATCGAACCGGCTAAATATGAATTTTTTATAGAATTAGGTAGTTTATACTTTTTAACCAAAACACTTAAAGCACCGTAGGGATTCATAGACACGCCAGATAGAAATGAGTGCACTTATGACGAACAATAACAACTTTATATCCATATATGATTATTTCAAAGCGTATTACAAGTAAAAAAAAGTTCAGGTAGTCATGGTAAAGAAAAGGTTTCGTGTCAAGGTTAGGGTAGTATATGTAAATATTGACGGGTTTTGTGTCAAATATAACGCAACTGACTGGTAAAACTGCCTCGATCTTGGCAACATTTTCTGTTTGATATGCCTTGAAGCAACGTCAAAAAACCAAACACCAGAAATATTTCACCGATTTACTATGTATCTGAAGATACCCTTTCAAACAGAACAAAACATCGATTTATCAACAGACTTAACACAGTTAGAGCTCCTAATTATCAAATTGTTGTGTAAAAAAATGGATACTCAAACTCCCAAAAATTCATAGTAGAAAAGTGTGCGACTATCTGTAAATACCTGGTTGCCTTTGAACATGTTTTTGTCGTTCTTGTGTGATTTTGGGATAAATTAGGCAGACAAAGCCTCATTCCTTAGATAAGAATGAGCTTTTGAATCAATCATAAGGATCTTATTTGAATAAGATTCGCAACCCGTGACCTGTTAGCCACCCGCTAAAAACATTAGCCTGTAAGCCGATCAAAAAAGTTAAAAAAATCCTCTGAACAGATTGTACTCCATAAATTCCAACAAATCTCATGGCCTGAGAATTTAAGGAAGAAGTTAGCTTAAAATTAAATCTGTTTATTTAAATATGTATATATTAAATATGTTTGTCTCCCTCAATTTAAGGGAGACAAACATATCATTCTTTAGAATCGAAAAGAACGATCTTGAAAGTGCAGTAGATTTATTAAAAAGTTGACAAATTTCGCGTGAACTAATTAATCACTGATGAACTAATCTCGATGGGGAGCAACGGTCAAAAGGATCCATTGAATCAGTAGGGCATTCTTGCGCTCACAACAAATTTTGAAACAGTCTTTTATTAATAGCAAAAAACCAAAGAGAAAGAAGATGAAAGGAATTGCAAAGAAACGAGAACAAAAAAATGCAAGAGGTTTATCTATTAGCAGGAAACAAACCAAATTCAATACTGAAACTCCCCAACTTCTTCATATTTATCCACACAATCTTAACATAACACCGCATTCCCAGCCTGAGCCCTAGGCTGAGAAATTGGGTTGTAATAATCTTGAAAATAAGTCAATTTATTAGAAAAGTTCCCACACCTGGCCTCAATCTAAAGTTGAAGGCTTTTTAGACTCGGAAATGACCGATTAAAGCAATAAATCGTGGCGCCATGAAATTCATTTCTTTTTCTTTATTATTCCTTTCAAAAAACGCGCAACGGAGTTGCGAATTTCCTTTTTACTGACGGATATCCCGGATGTAAACCTCCTCAGAGTTTTCTTTCGTGGCTACGATTGACGAGAAATCTCTCCAAGCATAAAAACTGTCATTTTCCAACTGTGATATTATTAGAATCGAGAGGAGACTAACAAAAATTCATGGATTAATTACATTCAAGCGCTGAGACATTCTAAAATCACTTGGGCAAATTGCTTTCGATAACAGCAGGCTGACCCTATTTCAGCTGCTAATGCAGGTTGAACAATTTAATCAAAACTTGTTATTTTCATTTTCATTTCTGTTTATATTTTTTCAGTTATATTTTTACCTAAAAAAACAACTTTAACTGTTGTTATCAAGCAAGAAATTGAGGTTGAACGGTGTTTGTTCTCTGGTAAAAAAGGAAAGACGGAAAGTTTCTGATACTAAAACGGTGACTGTAATTAATGACTCTCATAAAACTCGTACAATTTATCCATAAGAACGCTTTATTGCTTTACAGTTCCGCCCGTGAAAAATCCCTAGCAACAATTACTATTGTTAAGCTGATCTTTTATGCAAAGTATATAGCAGCACGATCACTAATGAATGAAAAACAAACAAAAAGAAACTCGCACGAACTTCAAACAACACAGAAGGTTCGAGAGCATAACTGAAGGTTTGAAAAAGCTGCGTTTCTGTAAAAGTTGTACTTTGGCATCTTTGCAAGAATGTTTTCACCGATTCTTTTAGTCGGCCTGACCCTAGCTGAAAAGTTCCTAATTTCCCACGCAGTTTATAACGCAGACAGGTAAGTTTTATTTAAGTGTCAATGGATGAAATTTAGCTTCTCTTGAGATTGAAGTTGTCTCTCCTTCGAGTCTTGTTCTGAATGAGTTTGGGCAAAAAAAAGTTGGTCGAGCTATTATCAAAATCACTTGAAGTAGTTCTAAACAATATTTGGTTTTAAGTTAGTGACGAGGAGTCTTTTTGAAAGCTAGATGTGTAAGTTCTTCTGTGACCATTGCAAATTGAGAACGCTCACTGCTCTAAAACTCAAACCACAGTTTAACTTTTACCAAAACTTGACACGAAAATCCACGTTGAGGACTTATTTTATTTCAAAATCTCAAGTTTTCCTATTGTGTACTTAAAAAAGAAGTTGAATACAAGATATTCAAAATGTTTATCAACTTTACGATCATATTTCTCTCTAAAACCTTCATCTATTATCATCTGCAGCTGAGGGTCAGTCTCAAATTATTTATGCTAATCAAAAGAGCCGCTAAAACATTTATTATCTCAGGATAAAATTATTGGGCTGCGTGATAATTCGTGTGGGTTTGCTCCTGTAGCTCTAATGCGGCTAAATTGTGGACCATCTTTAAGGCATTTAATATCTAACAACACAAGTATCTATTTTGTATGATGTAAACTCTTCTGGCTTGCGTTTTCATGCTCTTCTATCCCCTATCTTCAACTGAAATTGAGAAAAACAGATAAAACCAGAGAAGGTGATTAAGACAATAACGCTTAATTGTTAGCCTTGCTGGTCGCTTGAGATCTCGTTCAATGATAAACCCCTGTTTAATGGTGAAATACACAGCCCACAGAATAAAGAGAACGTCAGTGATGAATCAAATACACTACTTTTCGTGAATTATCTTGCCAAAACTGAATAATTTCATTTCAGCAATAACACTCGCACGACATTGGTTTTGAAAACGTTGTTTGAGGGATACGACAAACGGCTGCGACCCAATTTTGGAGGTAAAAGGTTATGTAGTTATACTGAGAAAGTAGTCATAAACTGGGAACATCATTTATGCGGTCAGAGGACAACCAGGTTTAAGTCAGCTACTTTTTGTTTCAATTAACCATGAAAATGTCTGACTATTAAAAGCCTCCCTATTAAGAAAATAAAATAAAATTGGCCCGCGTAATGATTTTGTAAAAGTTCACGTTTTGCTGTGCATGTTTCGTCCTGTTATAAGCTGGGAAAGATTTGAATCAAATTTTAAACTCTAAGCAAGAAACTTAGGACATTTTCATTTGCGTAGTTTTTCTTTCAGGTCAGACTAAGATTCAAACTAGTCACGAGTTTTCTCAAATTACGTTTTAATGAATTATCACAAAATGGAATTAATATCTACATAAATCACTTCATCTTTCATTCAAGATAAAATATGTCTTTAACCGCATCCTTTTTAAAACATACCACCTAAAACAGCAATTAGCTCGGAACGTGAATGAATTCACATAATTGTGCTTCATAATGCAACCAGCTGCTTGCAGTTTTCATGATTATGAATCAGCGAAGCCAAGAAAATAGTTGATAGATGAGGTTAAAAATTTAGAAAGGTTCAATCAAGTGTTTGAAGTATCCATTAACTCTTTGATCGCTAAGAGTGGTAGGCATCCATTTTCTCCCAACAATTTCATCGCTGAATCAAAATCGAGGTTATAAGAATAAAGAAAATGATCGAGAAGGAAAAGAGTTCTTGGTTTTGAAACATCTTGTCTCCTTTTCAGTATCACAGGAAATTAATTAGGAACAATGTGGAGATTAAGCACACTGATTTTAGGGTGTAAATAAAATACGATGATTATCACAACTCCTAACACTTTCTTTCGAAGGTCCTCCATGCAAAGTCAACATTTCTATGCATGTTTTGTCAATGGTGCCAATCAAAGAGATTGATATGGTAAGTTCTATGTGGCGAACGTGGCTTGGTTTACAAAAAAAGCTCATAACTCTTTTTCTCTCCCAGCATACTGATGAGAGTCACTGGAGAATACTGGACTTTTATATTCAACGGTCAAAATATCTCTATCGAAACCCTGCGTACGACTATTATCTACTCAAATAAGTCATGGAGGATTCCAAATAATTAATGAGCGGATCGGTCATTACTTATCGCCGGGGGGGCCGGAGGGGCCGGGGGGTGGGAGGTTGAAGGACTCTCGGTGAGATCACACGCTTTTTAGTGAGGGACGGAAGGGGAATCAGTCGTCGCTAACAGAGTATAAAAGGGGGGGGGGGAAGGGGGAGCGATAGAAAACTGCCAATGAGCGGGGAGCATTAGAATAGTACAGAGCCTTAGGAAGAACAGATAACCTTTATTGTGACACAACCAATAATCCCCCCGTCCCACTTTGGCGATAAACAATGAAGGTTCTTGAATAGATCAGAGATATCAGTTTTTGTCGCATGCAAAGCCTGGCTTTAATTGAACTGGGGTAATCAAGAACAAATCTTGTGAATAAATTTAATATTCAGGAGGAAGGGGGCACAAATTGGAACCAAAAAACACAAGAACAGGGATTATCTTGAGAGGAACTGTATTCGTTCGACTAGGGAATATTCCACCTCATAAACACCTCTTACTGGAGAGGGGAGGAGAGTGTTCACCTATCGGATGAATATAAAGTAAAGTTATACAAACTTATCGTTTAACTTTAGTTGCCTCGCATTGACAGATTCTGAAATGTTTCATGTATAGTTCATGTGGCTGTTTTTTATTTTTATATGAACGTAGGAGGCGACATTTGTGATGTTTTTTCGTCAGCATTGGCTCGACCCTCGTTTGGCTTATGGCCCCTCTCTTGGAATGCCTAAAATGAAGCTGAGTGGGAACATTGTGGACCAGGTGTGGATTCCAGACACGTATTTTGTCAACGATTTGACCCAAAAAAAATCCTGCGCAGATTTTATGTTTGAACTCTCACAAGAAGGTGTCATCACGCATAGTTGCAGGTTAGTTTAAGTCCTCTTATTGTTTGCACCTTTTAAATACCTAATTTGGCTCCCTAGTTCGGGTACAGCCGGTTTGTGGAGTTAAAAGCTCGGATGTCCTTAAGTCATCTAAAGACCAAAATAGTATGGTTCATATAGAACAACACCCCTGCGTTGATATTTAAGCTGTTTGACTGTACTATATGACAGGATTACGAAAAGCATTTTACCTTAACAACATACAGTAGAGTCGAACGTATATGTATGGCTCATTATCACATTTTCTTTACTTTTGATTTTCTTTAGACTCAGACTAAGTTTATACTGTCCGATGAATTTGCGAAAATTTCCAATGGATGAACAAGTCTGTGAAATGATCTTTGAAAGTTGTGAGTATGGACTTGAGAGATTTGAAAATTGCATGCAGCTATGTGACTCACTATCAGAAAGATGTCGAGTTGCGTAGCCAATCACCTTGCAGCTTTTGCAATAAACCGCTACTTGGTTACTTCATACGAAAGAGTAAAATTAATACTAGTTCCAGTCACCCTCAATGTTTTGAAGGCGGGAGTAATATTTGATGGCGTAGTCTGATCGTCCAGGTAAGAATAGTCTTGAGAAGGACTGCTGTCGGTAAAAGTGGCTGACGTTTCAAAACCCTGTGCAGAAGTCATCATCAGAATCGAGTCAAGCTTAAATTGCCAGCTTTTCACTTTGGGTACTTTGGAGGGAAAAAGATGATTTAGATTAAGAGAGATGAAACTAGGAGGTAAGTCTCTATAATATTTCTTGTGATTTCAGATTCTTACTCCACAGAAGATATGATCTTATCTTGGCTAACTGGTGGTAAAGATTCGATCGGTGTGTCAGGGGAACTACAGATTCCTCAGTACACTCTAAAGAAAATAGAAATCTCCATGAAAAGTCATGAGTATAGCACAGGTAAAATGCAACAGCTGGATGGTTGGGATTGTGCTGTTTTTCAATCCATTGCATGGGTAAACAGAGGGGATGTGGGAAGAATTCATGACGGAGATCTGAATATTTTATCACATTTTCACACATGCGCAAACCTATGGAATTCCTTCAAGAAAGCAAAACCCAAAAAAATGAGTCGAGCAACCCTTAAGGTTAATCATCCTAAGACAGTGATTCTAGGGGAGGTAAGAGGAGGAGCCAAATTAAATTTTATGATGATTCTTCATTGCATGCATTGTGAGAAACTGAAAAAAAAAAAAATAAGATAAAGACTGAAATTTGTTTATGATCAACACTTCGATTTTTTCAAAACCGTTTTTTTTTTCAGGTAATTTTTCGACCTTGTTAGCTAGATTCCACCTTCAGAGACAAATTGGCTATTACATTCTTCAACAATTCATCCCCACAGTACTTATTGTAGCTCTGAGCTGGGTTGGTTTCTGGATCGATGAACGTTCGGTTCCGGCACGGGTATCGCTCGGAATCACAACAGTCCTATCCATAACTACGCTAATGTTCGGTATTCAGTCGAGCCTGCCGAGAGTCGGTTACGTGAAAGCAATCGATGTGTTCATCTTGGGCAGTTTCCTTTTTGTGTTCGCTGCTTTATTGGAGTTTGCAGTGATCTGCTCATTTGCGAATGCATCTTCGTCGAAAAGAGAGAGAAGGCCAAAGGAAAAACAGGTTGCATCATATGAGAAACCATGTGTGATTTTTGAGGAAATGAATGACGTGGAAAAAAATTATCAAGAAAGTGGCACGTTTCGACAAGTTTTTGACACCAAAAGAGACGGGATTACGGTGAGTACAGGTAAGAAAAAAATAGGATAAATCAAATCAAGTTGTAATATATAGTTCTCAGTTCACACAATCTACTTCTCAAGTCCTGGCTTTTGAGTAATAACAGAAAAAAATCTTTACTTGCGTGCAAATTAATTCATTTATCTACGCGAAGGCTCAGCAAAAAAAACTTTAAGCATGTAACAATTATTTAAAAAGCTATTTTTTTTATGGCGGATGCGGGGGGAGCTATTCTAGATCAGCGCGCAAATATGTTTTTAATATTCAGACCTGATTTTCATGTGCAGTCTCTTTCTTTTATAGGAAAAACATTATCGCGACGAAAATTCTAACTACTCAACGAGCTTCATCCCAACATTGGCAATGTCTACAACACCGTGGTTTTCAATTAAGAGGCCAACAGGCAATGCAAGGTTTTCAAACAATCCAGCCTTTTTTCCTAAACTAAAGCCGTGTAAAATCGATAGACACTGCAGGAAACTCTTTCCTTTGGCATATGCGCTGTATCTTTCAATTTACTTCGCCATTTACTTCATGCCAGTTTGAGGTTTGGCTATACTGTTTATTAATCAACTCAACCAAAAACCTGTTGTTTGTTTTCTCCATGATATTTGGACCATATCGGGTTGAACCAATAAAAATGATACTTTATCATCAGTATTCATCGGTATGTACTTAAATACCCCGCTGACCAAGCGGATAGCCCGCGGTAGGCACAAATTTGTCTTATTACTCCTGTTAGCGGTCAGTTTATACCGCAGGCTCATCGTTTTTACAACCCTCACTTTTATTGTCAGCTTTTCTTCGAATCAAGATTGAAACAAAGGTAACCAAGATGGCTGATAGGCAAGTCGTGCCTCCGAGGATGTAAAAAGCAATTGCATAGCTCTGCAGTCCATCATAAATTCTTCCGGCAATCAGTGGTCCAAGCGTGCGAGGTACAGACAACAACAAGAAGGACATTCCTAAGCCGTACGATACTTTGTCCGGACCAAGAATGTCGCATACGATCACAGGATTGAGGATCAGATAAGCTCCGGCAAATAATCCAAATATGAACGCATTTATAGCTAAAATGGGGTAAGATTCAGTGACTGGTACCACAAAGTTGCTCAATCCCATGACTAGGAACGTTAACTGAACGATGTACACGCGATTGAAACGTCGGATATCCGATAAGCGCCCGACGATAACACGACCGAATGCCGATCCAACTGTCACGAACGTTAGAAGAAGAGAGGCCCGTGTCTTGTCGATTCCGATGTCTTCGGCAAGGCACACCTTTGAAAAGGAAAATAAAGATTGAATTTAAGTAACTCCTGTAAAATTCTCAAGTAGTTCATAATTGGTGTGAAGATACAAAGGACGAAGAATGGTTTTCTTAAATGGGAGCGATTGCAATTCAACGAACTGCAAGTCGAACTCCGCTTATAAAAATTTATGTTGTGTAACAAAACCAAATGGTTATAACTACAGACAAATACAAATAGGGTTTAAAATCTCACCAAGTGTACAAAGGGGACCATGTATCCAAGCATGAAGATGGAAACAACCACGATCCACATTAAGAATGCTTTGTTTTTTAAAATTCCCCAGTCAAAAAGACGCCTCTTCTTAACAAACGTAGTTATGACATCATTCTGATGAGGCAAAACTCTACGCTTCGGGCGATAGACAAGTGAAAAGACTGAGAGGAGAAGATACGCGCCTGCAAGCACGCGAAACATATTTGCCAATCCAATATAAGTAAGCATCTGTTGCATGCTGGGACTCAATACGCTTCCGCCGATAGCACCACCAAGGGCTATGAGTCCATTAGCAAATGCAAGCCTCGCTTTGAAGTGCTTAGTGAGTATCAACAGGTCGGCGAAGTAGACTAAAGAGGCGCCCAGGCCCCAAAAGAAGCTGTAGGTGAGGTACAACAATGGGAGACTGGTGACAAAGGAGGATATAAACAAACCGATGGAGCAGGCCAGACAACCCAGTAAGGCAACTATCCAGCATCCAAAGCGCTCGCTAAGAACGGTGCCGAGCGGGAAGAAGCCGTAGTAAGTGGAAACAGCTAAGGCGCTCACCCAGGCTATAAGGAAAAAAAATTGATTGAATTCGTGGATTCGTAGATTTGTAGTGAGAAGGATGTTTTAATCGATTTTTTTATCCAAATATCTACGAGAAGCTTCTCAGAAAATTACAATATCTTTAGATATCTATGATCAAGCATGTCAACTGATTTTCATTGAGAGAATCGTAAAAGACAAAAAATTGAAGACGCTTAACAAAGTGAATTGTAATCGTTAAATTGTGAGGTGTTTTAGTTCTAGAGCTCAAACTCATATGAGCACGTAATTGTCCGTTATCAAATAGTGCAAAGTACATTACCAGTTTCTAGTCTTGATTTGTCGAATTCTTCAATTAAAGCCGCATATATCACTCCAGAGCTTGTTATCAATCCCCCGACGAAGAACTCCATCAAGGCTGCTGTAGCACATACTACCCAGGCCCAGCCTCTGTCATAGTGAGCCTCATCATCAGAATGAGGCGTTGTGGTAGCCTCTTCATCAGAATGAGGCTCATTGCACTCAGGGGCTCTCGATTCTCCCTTACATCCTTCTGTTTTAGTCCCTACATCAAGACAAAATTGATGTTCATTTTTACGCTGGTTTTTCTCGGTGTTGTTGTCAGAACTTTGAACATCCCTTGGATCTCCTCCCTCTGAAGCCTCAGCAAGGACTTTCACACCCAATTCAGTCTCGTTAGCCTCACAACTGATTGTCCTGCTCTGTTCCATCTACCAAAACACGATTGTAGATTAGTATTATTTCTTGTCTTGTCTTTTTCGGATTTACTAGTGTTTGTCAAGGTGTGCAAATGTGGTGCAAATTTGAGGCTCTAAATTTGAACTAAATTTGCACTAGCTATAAACTGAAGGTAAACTCAAGCATTTGTTCCTGACAAAATTACATGCAAATGTGCTGTAGATATGACATTTGCTTAACAGTTACCTTACATTTTCTGCCAAGGTAAACTTGAGCTTAAACATATTTTTTAAGCATTTGCTTTCTGCGCAAAAGTGACATATTTACTATTGATGCAACTACAAGTAAACATGGTGCAAAACAGTGTGTTTGCGACATTTTTCTACCCACTCATTTACTTACCATGGAAATAAGTACCTTTGCACTTAATGTAATCTAATTTGCTAATTGAGCAAAGCTGTTCATTTGCTATAAATTTGCATTGACGTCAAACAAAAAAAAACCCTATTGAGTGGCCATTTGCCAATTCCCTGAGGGTAGCCGATTGTCTGGGTTCATCCACCTAGGGGCTGATTGCATCAGTCACGCTGGCCAACCCATCTAATGCCATCTTAGCAAACAGTCAACTCATGTAATCCACTCCTTATTAAACAAACTACTAGAACAAACAAAAGTGACAGGCCTCTGCCTACCACAGATATAAAATTTTATTGTTTTCATTAAGACTGCAAACACATATTGCACACGGAAATTATTATTATTTTAGCTGTTATCACATAAAACTGACAAATTGTTTTGATTGAAGAACCTTTAGCATTTTTCAGATTAAACATTTTCTTAATGTATATGGAAAAACGTGACCTTCCAGTCTTCCAGCACTCGCTTCTAAACCGAACACGTGTTTTATCCCCACGTGAGAGGCCAAGTGTGACCACTGAATGAAGCTACATAGACTTAGCATAAAATTTTCAATGTTTTCTTTTTTAAATTCGTTTCAAATTTTTCCCGGTCCAAGACATCCATGTTCCTTCTTGAATTTATTTTTGCCTCTTTTTCAATGCCATTACCTTAACAGATTACCTTACTACAGATTACATACGATTCCACCTCGATCGTGGCAAGTAAGACACATGACGTAGTGGCCACTAGCAGGGGATGACATGAAAAAAACCCACGAAAAAAGGACTTGTACTTAAAATAATGGTTTGGCGATGAAATACGTCGAAATCTTCAGGTGAAAACCTTTTTATTGATGGAAATTTAAGTACCTAATTCACGAGTCACTTTTTTATACCATTGCAAAAATACCGTAAAATTAAAGGAAGTCACGAAATAATAGGTCAGCATAGATAAGAAACAAACATACCAAAACTAAAAACTGCACCTTTAAGAAAAGATGCCGGTTTGAAATAATTCTTTGACGGACGCAAAAAGTTTCGCCCCCAATCAAGTCACACACGGTCCAATTTCACCAACTGCTTTTACTCTGATGTAAGTAAAATGACTTTGATACCTATCCTCCTCATTAACCATCATAAGATAACACTGGTAGTATTTCGATTTGTGAGTGTTTTCTCTCCGTAAAATACCTCTGCGGTGCCGGTTTCCGAGTAAGAGTAAATCTTTTATGGTGCCAAAGTGGTATTCCATGCATAATTTATTCACGACCATTCCTATAAACTCCCATGACTTTGAAATATAAAGACAGACCCACGGATATTTAGTTTCTCTTGAAGGGTAATAAAACTCATACTGGTACGTTTTCTTGAGATCTTAGCATTGTTGTTCGCTGATGTCCATACAGAAATTAAAATTCATATTTCAACCAGAAAGGCATAGACCTCATCTCCGGCCTTTTATTTGACTAGAGGCCTGATTAAAAATTTCATTCTAATTTGCAAGTTTTTTATAAGCCGTCACCTGGAGCTGATGAAACTAGTTGTGGATTCTTTTTCTTAAAACACTCACAGCACGGAATTGACATTATTTCAGAACATTTATTAAATTTTTGGTCGTGATGAGCAGGAAGTTATAGAACAACTCAAATGAAATTGTTGGTTTGGTGCAGAAAAAAGAGAGAAGTTTGACGAGGTACTATTCTTTCCCTATGTTTCATTTTTTCCTGTTTGACGTCGAAACGAAGTGAATCGTGTAAATGATAACTTGTATAAAATAGGCAACTATTTACCATAACGTGATGAGCCGCGTTTAACGTCCTTACGTTTGCTCTATTGTTGACATATGAAGAAGTGTTTGATAACAGAGAGATAAAAAAACCGATAAGCTATCCACCAGATTGTACTCTATGTCTAATGTGCAAGAACAGAGGCTTTTTGGGCGAGGAAAACTTTAGCTTCCGAACAAAAGAAAGATCTCTAATAAGTCCATACTATCAATGCCGATAACAATCTTTTTGACCGTGTCCACGTCAACTCAAAATCAACCCTCTACACCTTAACATCAGTATGTGTATTCTCCATACTGTTTTCTATACATTATATAAGGCGCTGACAAGGAGAACTTGTTTAACGACCAAGAGCCTGTTGGTGATCATTTCCTCTATTTTCGTGACCTTAATGTCTAGTTCACAAGCAACAATGAAAGGAGAATTTAGATGCTGATCACTCTTAGGGGTTGAATGTTTAACCCAGACCAAGCATCATCAAGTATTGACGACGACATATTCTTCAGTAGACGTTAAATAGTTCATTTATTCTCAAGTTATGAATAAAAACACTCCATAGTATTGTTGAAATGTATATTTCCTATCATTTTGTCTCTGAGAATTTGCAGTTAAACCCCTCATTGATATTTTCCTTTTGCTCATCTCTTTAATGCTTAACAACGAATTGGCATTATGAGGAGAAATTACACAATGATCTCTCATAGGAGTGAATGAAGTTAGTAAATACGCATCTCTGAAGTTAATACAAAATAAAAATTGAAACTGAACGACGACAAGACTGAGTTTCTGATCATTGGTACATCCCAGTAAATTATTGTCACATTACTACTTTCTTGATGGAGTTGCACTGGTTACCTATTAAGTTAAGAATTAAATTTAAGATTGTATTAGTTGTTTTCAAGATTTTTAAGGGTTTTGCACCGTCTTATTTAAGTTCTCTAATTACACGCAAGTCCGAGTCAAGGTATAATTTAAGGAATTCTAGGGATAAGACCTTACTCAGTTATCCTAGTTTTAAGTCTAAGGCAACACTTGGTGACCGAGCATTTATGTTTGCGGCACCTAAGCTATGGAATAATTTACCAAGGGATATACGAGAATCTAGTTCTATTAATAGTTTTAAATCAAAGCTTAAGACGTTTCTTTTTAAGAAAGCATTTTATAATTGATAACGTTTTTATAGTTATTTATTCATTGATTAAGTTTAAATAGAACATTTCAAGTAATAATTAGTTATTAGTTATATGTTATATATTTTATTTATTATGAATCGTATTTAATTGTTATTTGCATTCCAATTATCATTATTATTGTTATTTTTATTTTATCTTTAGTTTATTGTAATTATTATGCTAGGGGGCATTTAAATATATATAAACATAGAATTTGCGCCTAAAAATTCAATAAATTATTATTATTATTATCCTGAATATTACCCGCTAATGGTGTAATGATATGTTATTTTCTTGAAGGAGGTCATAAACAGCATCAAAATGCTATTCATAGTTTCATATTTTAAGTCAAATAAAGTGCAATTTCTTTTTACAGACATCTTTCATTTCTTTGCGATAAAAGGAGCGAAGGTGAAGAATCTTTTTTTTTTATCATCTACATTGCTTTTAAATTCACATATTATTAGTCGGGGAAGCAGCGTGTAGATCTTAATTATTGAAATATCACGACGTCTTAGAAATAGTAATGCACGTCGCGATAGCATATCTTTGTCGCTTTTATAAATGTGTTTTTGAGCGTGGGATTTGACATAACCACGGACCATGAAAGATAAAGCCACAAACTGTTCTTTCAAGAAGAGATTTGATACGGTTAAAGAAAACTGAGCAACTTCCAGATTCCTCTATTATAATAATAACGATCACCTGAATACAGTTTCTCTGTGGACAGAAGTCGTTCGGTAGTGTTATTATTTTTGTGAGCAGTCAGTTTATACCGAAGGCTCATTATTTTTACAACCCTCACTTTTATCGTCAACTTTTCTTCGAATCAAGATTGAAACAAAAGTTGCCAAGAAGGCTGATAGACAAGTCGTGCCTCCCAGGATGTAAAAAGCAATTGCATAGCTCTGCAGTCCATCATAAATTCTTCCGGCAATCAGTGGTCCAAGCGTGCGAGGTACAGACAACAACAAGAAGGACATTCCTAAGCCGTACGACACTTTGTCCGGACCAAGAATGTCGCATACGATCACAGGATTGAGGATCAGATAAGCTCCGGCAAATAATCCAAATATGAACGCATTTATAGCTAAAATGGGGTAAGATTCAGTAACTGGTACCACAAAGTTGCTCAATCCTATGACTAGGAACGCTAACTGAACGATGTACACGCGATTGAAACGTTGGATATCCGATAAGCGCCCGACGATGACACGACCGAATGCTGATCCAACTGTCACGAACGTTAGAAGAAGAGAGGCTCGTGTCTTGTCGATTCCAATGTCCTCGGCAAGGCGCACCTATAAAAAGGAAAATGAAGATTGAAAGTAAATAACTCCTGTGAAATTTTCAAGTCGTTCATAATCGGTGTGAAGCTACAAAGGACGAAGGGTGGTTTTCTAAAAGAGGAGCGATTGCAATTGAACGAACGGCAAGTTGGACTCCGCTTATACAAATTTATGTTTTATAACAAAACCAAATGGTTATAACAGCAGACAAATACAAATAAGGTTTAAAATCTCACCAAGTGTACAAAGGGGACCATGTATCCAAGCATGAAGATGGAAACAACCACGATCCACATTAAGAATGCTTTGTTTTTTAAAATTCCCCAGTCAAAAAGACGCCTCTTCTTAACAAACGTAGTTATGACATCATTCTGATGAGGCAAAACTCTACGCTTCGAGCGATAGACAAGTGAAAAGACTGAGAGGAGAAGATACGCGCCTGCAAGCACGCGAAACATATTTGCCAATCCAATGTAAATAAGCATCTGTTGCATGCTGGGACTCAATACACTTCCGCCGATAGCACCATCAAGGGCTATGAGTCCATTAGCAAATGCAAGCCTCGCTTTGAAGTACTTAGTGAGTATTAACAGGTTGGCGAAGTAGACCAAAGAGGCGCCCAGGCCCCAAAGGAAGCTGTAGGTGAGGTACAACAATGGGAGACTGGTGACAAAGGAGGATATAAACAAACCGATGGAGCAGGCCAGGCAACCCAGTAAGGCAACTACCCAGCATCCAAAGCGCTCGCTAAGAACGGTGCCGAGCGGGAAGAAGCCGTAGTAAGTGGAAACAGCTAAGGCGCTCACCCAGGCTATTAAGAAAAAAAAAGAATGATTGAATTCGTAGACTCTTAGATTTGTAATGAGAAGGATGTTTCAATCGATTTTTTTTCCAAATATCTACGAGAAGCTTCTCAGAAAATTACAATATCTTTAGATATCTATGATCAAGCATGTCAACTGATTTTCATCGAGAGAATCGTAAAAGACAAAAAAACTGAAGATGCTTAACGAAGTGAATTGTAATCGTTAAATTGTGAGGTGTTTCAGTTCTAGAGTTCAAACTCCTATGAGCATGTAATTGTCCGTTATCAAATAGTGCAAAGTACATTACCAGTTTCTACTCTTGATTTATCGAATTCTTCAATTAAAGCCGCATATATCACTCCAGAGCTTGTTATCAATCCCCCGACGAAGAACTCCATCAAGGCTGCTGTAGCACATACTACCCAGGCCCAGCCCCTGTCATAGTGAGCCTCATCATCAGAATGAGGCGTTGTGGCAGCCTCTTCATCGGAATGAGGCCCATCGCACTCAGGGGCTCTCGATTCTCCCTTACATCCTTCTGTTTTAGTCCCTGCATCAAGACAAAATTGATGTTCGTTTTCAAGCTGATATTTCTCAGTGTTGTCGTTAGAACTTTGAGCATCCCTTGGTTCTCCTCCCTCTGAAGCTTCAGCAAGGACTTTCACGCCCAATTCAGTCTCGTTAGCCTCACAACTGATTTTCCTGTTCTGTTCCATCTGCCAAAAAACGATTGCAGATTAACGTTATTTCTTGTCCTGTCTTTCGCCTCGCTGGGGCGTTTCACTGAGACAGTAGTCCTCTCGCGGTATGTATAAAACGAGCTGCAAATGCAGTATTTGCAACTTGAAAGATGGTTCACCTACTCTCACAATCGAGCAGATATTTAACCTGAGTCTAGGTAGAGTTTTGGCAGTTAAATTCAGTCGAACTTTGCTCTCAAAACATAAACAAAAACAATCGTATGGAAGTGTGAGCAACGAGAAATGGTGCAAAGGGAATTTATGGCATGCAAAGTATTCATATTGATATGAACTACTAAAATTAATAGCACTCTGGAAAAGCGTTCAGTAATTGTTTGGGCTTGTACGATAATCTTGAATTCCTTGTGAGTCATGTTTTATCATGTGATGCAAGACCACAAGTATGGTTTTGCTTTTGAGTGATGTGCCCTTGATCATTATAATAGGGCTTAACTTTTAGACGGTAATCACCATTGCTAATCGTGTTTGGGTTTGTCCACTGACCTTGCTCAGAGTCCTCAACGGGAGGTTATGTTTGAGTTTTAGCTTTCTAAGAGCGATTGTCTTTCAGGTAGCTTTTGTTCATTTCGACAGTCTCGTGAAATTTGATGGGTTGGTGTTCTAAAGAATACGTTTAATTTGCCAAGGTCAGTTGTCCAGTAAGCCCACACACGCCCACCGATGGGTTTTTAAGAACGTGTACCTGGGGCTAAGAGGATAGGTCAGAAAAGAGCAGCAGTAACCCCGAATAAACAGTCAAACCATATTCATAAGAGGTCAATCGAGCAAAAAACCCACTTTCGAGCGGTTTACCGGCGTAATTACGCACGTGAATGTTGAGATAACATGTGAAAAGTCGCTTTCTTTATCATTACACAAAGTGGACGTTTCCGAATAAACAAACACGTCCACAAAATATGTAGGATCGTGATTTCTATAAATGTTTAACTTATAACAGAGGTATCGAGTTACTGTCGAATTGTCGAATTACGTTCAATCATAAACGTACTTGCACAATCGTTTGAAATGGTATTATAGCAACTGAATGTTTTTTGGAACAATTGGTTTTTTCCTTCTTTTAGTATTATACAAAATGGACGTTTAGCGAATAAACAAACACATTCACAATACATGTTTGAACGTGATTTCTATCAATGTTTAACTCATAGTAAAGGTGTCGAGTCACTATCGAAGACAAATAATCTGATGCCGGAAAAAAGCACAGGCAAACATTTTGTCTGAAATTAGCGCTGCAAGACTGAATGATGTTTAAATTGTAGAGCACGGCAGCCTAAGGAAAAGAGGATTATAAATTGAACACGATTTCAATTTGACAGAAAAAAGGAGCTCTATAAAATGAAATCATTTCATCTTGAGGTCGTTTTCACATTTCTTCCAGATGCATACACAAAAGAATAAGGTTTTTCCTAATCCACTACTGGTTGTTTCAAGCAGTTTATGTTGTTCTCTAGGAGGTTGTATTGCTGCAGTAATTTGTTTATTATTCCGGCCTCTTGACGCAAAAAGCGAAGCAAAATCTGCAGGCGAACTGAAAAGCTGAAAAAACGGGGGACTTAATTTGTGGACAAAGTCAATATTCACCAGTAGGCGGGCTTAGCTCTGCGCTAAAATAAAAGTTTTACTCCCACTCAGGGGCTATTGTTTACGCAGGAGTTCAAGAGCGTCCTTACATTTAAATTTCATCGTCATCTGCAAAGAACCCACTCCGTTGTCATTTGCTAGATCTATTGCATGACACTCGGTTTGGTTTCTGGGCTCTGTTTATTGTTTTTAAAGAACCATAAGCTCCTCTTACAGTGTTCATTGACCCTTCATTAGGCATGAATTTTTTAAATGGGAACCTTTAGCATTTTTCAGATTAAACATTTTTTAATGTACATGGAAAAACGTGACATTCCAGTCATATTTATACACCTACACCACGTATTTCTAAACCGAGCACGTTTTTTTATCCTCACGTGAGAGGCCAAGTGTGACCAGTGCACGAAGTTAGATAACGGCTCGCGAGCCTTGAAAAATTAGCATAAATTTTTTAATGTTTTCTTTCTTAAATTCGTTTCAAATTTTTTCAAAGCCATCCATGTTCCTTCTCAAACTTACTATTTCCTCTTTTTCACTGCCATTACCTAAACAGATTTACCTTACTACAGATTGCATACGATTCCACCTCGTGGCAAGCAAGACACATGACTTAGTGACCACACAGCGGAGATGACATGCGAAAACCCACAAAAAAAGGACTTTTACTTAAAAAAATGGTTTGGCGAGGAAATTCGTCGAAATCTTCAGGTGAAAACCTGGTTATTGATGGAAATTTAATTACATAATTCACGAGTACCAAACATACCAAAACTTTGACGGACGCAAGAAGTTTCGCCCCCAATCAAGTCACACACGGTCCAATTTCACTAACTGCTTTTACTTGTATGTAAGTAAAATGACTTTGATACTTATCCTCATTAACCATCATTTTATTACCCTAATATCCATTGAAGGGTAATAAAACTCATATTGATATGTTTTCTTGAGATCTCAGCATTGTTGCTCGCTGAAATTTTACAGAAATTAAAATTCATATTTTAACAAGAAAGGCATGGGCCTCATCTCCGGCCTTTTATTTGATTAGAGGCTTACTTAAAATTTTCATTCAAATTTGCATGTTTTTTAGAAGCCGTCGCCTGGAGCTGATGAAAGTAGATGTGGATTCTTTTTCTTAAAACACACACAACGCCAAATTGACAATATTTCAGAACATTTATCAAATTTTTGGTCGTAATGAGCAGGAAGTTACAGAACAACTCGAATGAAATTGTAGGTTTGGCGCAGAAAAAAGAGAGAAGTTTTCAGTTGAATGTTCAAGCAAATGAGCATTGAAGGATTTTATTGCATCATAATGTTTCAAGTGTTTAAGTTATTTTTCGTGATTTGCAACGTTCAAGAATATCTACAATCTATCTACCATCTATCTATGGTTAATAAAGGTTACAAATCATAAGTTAACGATACGAATCAATGTAAAATATACAATGATAAACTATTAAAAATGCACACTCAGTGCAATGGAGACTATAGAAACAAAGGGAAACTACGTCCTAGGAAACTATTTGCTGACTCCGAGTTGTCAAGACCCAAAAACTGTGACGGGCTACTATTCTTTCCCTGTGTTTCGTTTCTTCCTGTTTGACGTCGAAACGAAGTGAATCGTGTAAATGATAACTTGTAATAATAAAATTAGCAGCTATTTACCTTAACGTGATGGACCGCGGTTGATTTCGTATCCTTGCATCGTTCATGGTCAACCAGGCACGTTTAACGTCCTTACGTTTGCACTTGAAGAAGTGTTTGATAACAGAAAGATAAAAAAACGGTTAAGCTATCTACCGGATTGTACTCTATGTCTAATTTGCAAGAACAGAGGCTTTTCGGGCGAGGAAAACTATAGTTTTCGAACAAAAGAAAGATCTCTAATAAGTCCATACTACCAATGCCGATAACAATCTTCTTGACCGTGTCCTCATCGACGCAAAATTAACCCTCTACACCTTAACATCAGTATGCGTATTCTCCATACTGTTTTCTATACATTCTCTAAGGCGCTGACAAGGAGAACTTGTTTGACGACCAAGAGCCTGTTGGTGATCATTACCTCTATTTTTGTGACCTTAATGTTTGATTCAAAGACAACAATGAAAGGAGAATTTAGATGCTGATCACTCTTGGGGGTTTAAAGTTTAACTCAGACCAAGCATTATCATGTATTGACGACGGCATGTTCTAGACGTTAAATAGTTCATTTATTCCCAAGTTATGAATAAAAACACTCCATAGTATTGTTGAAATGTATATTTCCTATCATTTGGTCTCTGAGAATTTGCAGTTAAACCCCTCACTGATATTTTCCTTTTGCTCATCTCTTTTATGCTTAACAATGGCATTATGAAGAGAAATTACAAAATGATCTCTCCTAGGAGTGAATGAAGTTAGTAAATACGCATCTCTGAAGTTAATAAAAAAATTAAAATTAAAAAAACTCCGAGAAACTTTTTAATTTTATATTTGACGGGAGTTGTTTCTAGGTAGCTCTTAAATGATAAGAAAATTCTAAACAGCGGTAACATTTCCTTTCTTTTTTAGGGATCTGTCATTATTTTTCGCCGAAGGAGAGAGGGGGCTGGGGATTTTTTCAGGGATCACATGGCTTCCAGGGGAATGGAGGGGAGTTCACTCACCGCTAACTGAGTAAAAGCGGGTACTGGGTACTATAGAAAATTGACTGCCAGGGAGGGGGAGGAGGGGAAGAAGGGGGTTAGATTAGGCGCGATAAATAATGACAGTTTCCTTATTGATGCTTTATCGAAGATCTTTTAAAATTGGTATTTCTTTAGATATCAGTGTTACGTTCAGATCATGCTGATGGTCTTCAGAACCATTGATCAAAATGTACCCCATCTCTTTCATCAATGGTGCACAGGCCTCCTCGACCAGAGAAACGAGTGAGGGATCTCGGACGAGCCTCCAGTAACTGATACGGTTTTCGTTATCCTCTGATATCGTAAAGGCCTTAATTTTGAATTCTATCTCCGTAGGTATTCTGCCTTCAGCAATCCACTGATAAATGGAATTTGTCATTGGTAGACCAACAAAGTCATACATCACTCTCGCAGCATTCATAGCACTGCCTGCGATGTCTTCGTAACGCACAAGTTTGTAATGACCTTGAAACCACGTCGCCCAGTTATCTCTGACATAGTTTAAATTGTTGGTAACTTGAGAGCACAGCAGCTGCACATTACGCTTTAGCAGACTCAATCCTTCGGATGTTAAATTTTTTGAGTAAAATAGCGTCTTTTCAGGTCCTTGCGCAAAAAACTTGCGTCTCAATAGTGAGGAAATAACAGCACGAGGATCTCTTACCAAGTGAATGATTAAACAATCAAACTGTTGTGGATCAGCGCGGCACACTCGTTCAAGCTCCTTTATTCCGATTTCTCTGGGAAGTCGTGTTTGCATGACTTTCGCTACAGTGATTTTCTTACCTCTACAAGCATCTCTCACGGCTTCCTTGGTAAATTCCGGTGTCGAATATCGCCAATAAGTCAAGTGTTTTTTCCCCTTAACGAATGGAGGAATGGATCTGTACAGTGTATTATTCTTCAAGAATCCACATCCTAAACAGTCACGAAATAAATCAAAAAAATCTTTGGTGTACGCTCGATTTGTTTCGTCATCGAAAGGATTCCACTCGTCATTGTAAACCTTTCTTCGCAGGTTATGAAGGGGTTCATAAAGATAAAACACGTCAGGGTGAAGATTAAATAAGTTGCCGGTAAGCGTCGACCCTGAACTCATGTGAGTCAAAATGATCACATTCCATCTTTTATTATCTTCAGTAGAGACTCTCAGAGAAAGGGACGACCTCTGCTCTGCGGGTTTTAGCTTTAAATCTGACTTCTCTGTTTGGTATTTTAGTGCTGTTTTAGCAGAAATACTTTCACAAGGTTGTATTAAAGATCTCACGGTGTACAACAAAGTAGCCATGACAGAACAAGTAATCAACGCGGACAACAGCACGGTACCTCGACACCTGTAAGAAAAGTACCAACGATGATTAAAATCATTTTGAAATCCATAAAGTCAGGTTTCCCTAAGAATGTAGTCACTCAAGTAGTATCTATCTTTATATAACATTAGGATATGCAAGAGATTTGTTTGACAGCAAGCCTTGCGGGTGGATCAAGGAATTTCCTTTTTTGTGCGCTGAAGTCTACGAATAAGCTGCGAAAAGACGGTGCTTCGTCAAGTGCTTGGAAAGTGGCCCTTTCAAAATCGATGTCACTCGAGAAAAAAACATAAGTTGTCTCTCACAAAAAGGGCTCTACGCATGCAAATGAACTGGATGTATGGTGCTAAAGAACCTTTACTGGTGTTATTATTTGATAGTATTAGCCATTCCTTGTTATTGTTATGAATATCATTTTTTATAGACATTTACTCTGTCTATTTCGGGCAATTACAGAAAATTTAAGTTTCTGTTGACCGTTATTACAATAATAAGCATGAAACACGTCATTTAATCCCAGCGCTGAAAGTTGAATTTGGATGCAAAAAATTGAAATTAAAATTGAAAGCATAACATAATGAAATAGCGGACAGTTCAGGAGAAAGTAACAACGTTTTAATTCAGAGTTTGAATGAAAATAGTGAGACAAAAACAACCAACAAGGCACAAACAATGGGCTTAAATTCTGAAAGTCTTGGGCTCCAAAACATCTATCATGAAGTAATGGAACTTGATCAAAATTTTCTACGACTTTTACGCATTCCAAGTATAGTACGAAAGACGGGAAAAATTGCGAGCCTATTAGCCTTCGTGCAATGGTTGCCATTGACCGATACCAAACGTAGAAAGAGAAAATAAGCTCGCTTATTCGCGGAAAAGATTGTCCATACAAACTGCCCTGCTGAGGAGTTAATTGAAACTATCATGTAGCAGTGTGGACTGAGATTTTACCTTGAAAAAATGAGCTTGTTTATCATCCTAGAACACAACCGCTTTATGGCTTGGGAAAACATCTCACAACGGCTTTAATGATAGCGTCACCGATTCAAAGTAATAAATGATGCCATAGAAACGAATACGATTAAAGAAAAAATTTTAACAAATTTAAACTCAAATTTTAACCAATTCAAATAACTATAGCAGATATAGGCTATAGATATGCACATAGGTTCTAAGCCCCTGATAATAATAATAATAATAATAATAATAATAATAATAATAATAATAATAATAACAATAATGTATTTAATGTCCGCGGCACAAGTTATCCGTGCAGTATAAGACAATGCTTAGAGCTGAAAAGTGATTTATTAGTTAGTCGTGTAACTGGATAAAACAGGATCTAATCAAAATGGCTTTGGCTTGGTTAAAGCAAAATTGTTTTCCTTTTGGTAATGAAAAGAGCAACTCGCTTTCAAATTGAATTTGCCAGGAAAAATAAAAAAGCGACTAATAATTTCTAAGAATTGTTGACTGCATTTCGTTTTGCCATGGTTGGATCACTGAAATAACTTTTGACTTAAGATCGGGCAGTTCGCAATTCGTTGTTCTAGTATATTTTTTTAGATGAAATTTTCAAAGGTTATCAGATATTCGTTCATCCTTACAACGAAGTGTCCCCTCAGTCATTTTGCGAAACTCGACGTTCCTCCCAAAGCATTGCACACCTGATTGGGGCTAATTGCTCTTGTTACCAGTTTTCCCTCATTTGTTCGCACGAGATCAAGTCTCCCCCCCCCCTTCCTTTTTTTGCGGGCACTGGCATTTCATTGTCGTCCGAGCAACGGGGGTGGAAAATTTGAAAGTTGCTTCGATGGGATAGGGAATTTGAACCAGCGGAATACACGTGTTTTGATTTTAAATATGAAGAAGTTTAAAGGCAAAGACTCCGCTGTCGTGAGCAAATGGCCTCGCAGAATGAAGCTTATAAGCGGAAAACTCGACAGCAGCATCAAAAACTATTACGTGACTGCAAAATTCTACAACATTCGTTGATCACTCAAAAGATCGTTCAATCGTTCAATACAAAATTTTGCTTGCGGGGGGCTTTGAACGCCAGGGAGGGGGGGGAGAATTCGAAGGAAACGATCTTAAAAAGTTTAAATGGCCAGGGGTTGCGCGGAGGGATGTTGAAGCTTTAAATTGAACGACGCAAAACCGACGTCACTTCATTTGTCTTCTTCTTTCTTTTAATGGTTTGCAGAAACATGAAAACCCATTTCCTCTCCAATGTTTACATTTAGTGGTGTTTTCTATTTTTAATTACGAGGGTTGAAAGTAGCAAATGAAACGCAACACAATACACGAGTATGGCTGCAATTCAGCAATGGTTTCTTCATTGTTTGTAAAATAAACAAGACACAGAATAACTTAATTAGGAGAAACAACTGAGTTTGACTACTGTTTGTCCCTGATCAGTTTTCAGTCACATTGTTAACAGTTACACCTGGGCAGCTAAATAAACGACAATTTTCAGTTTTTGTTTGTTTTTCGGTTTGCAGTCAGAAGATCGTATGATTACATCATCTTTATTTTCAGTTGCTCGCTTTTATTGGCTTTCAGTCTGAACTCCTACTTATTTCCTTTGTCGACTTTTCGTTTAAGCGAGTAAGTTTCAGGGAATTTCAAACCGAATTTTACTCAAGGCTTAAAGATCTGACGGAGAATGCCAATAACTAAACAGGTGAGGTTAATTTGATTTTTTTTTTATTCGCTGTATATAAGCTGCATTTGTCTGTAATCAATTTCCTTTCTTGGCGCCAATAATTAGTATTGGTAATACAGAACCGAGTGGAGTCCATTCTGGTCTGTAATCATAGGAGTGATTACAAAATCGGATCGGATGACCGCGAAGCGAACGTACGATTTATCAATCACGAGTATGATTACAGACTAAACTGGACGACACAAAGTCTTGTTACCGTTTTTTCATAACCATTACAATTTCCGAAAAAAAAACCCAAATACATTAATTTGAGAAAGAGCTTTCAATATTAATTATCTACAGTGAAAAATTCCCCCATTTTCGAATTTCCGGGTAAGTGGTTGTTGCTATGGTTATTCCAATCAATTCTTTGATTGGTGGATGTAGCTGAGTGGACTTCACACGATTGGCTACTTTAACTGTCTGATTACAGGTGTCCGATTACAGCCAATTGTCCGATTGTACTGTCTGATTACAACTCTGCAGAATAATTAGTGAAAATTACAGCAGCTAATGCTAGATCACATTTGAGGAAACTGTAATGGTTATGATTAAAGGTAAAATCTAATCAATCCTACACTTCTTTGATCCAGATTAGATGTCTCGGCTGGTATACTTACGGCAAGGAATAGTTTTCCATTCTTCCATCAGGATTTGTCATGTCTCCATATCAAGCGTTTGTATTTTTGTTCGTTTCAACCACTGCTGGACTGGATGATTGCAACACGGTCGTATCTATCAGAGGCTACCTTCTGATTAGTCGCCCTTTCAAGATAGCATCCGGGAAATCCCTTACGACGTGTATTTTATCATGTGACCGGGATGCAAACTGTTACAGCTTCAATTATAAATTTCCCAGAAAGACGTGCGAGTTGAACAATGTGACTCGTTCCCTTCGTCCTGAAAAGTTTATCTTCGCTCCTGATGCCGTGTACTTTGATCACCCATCCCGTCCCGCGGGATCATGCTCGGGTAATTGGCCCTGTAGAAATAAGGGGAAGTGTGTCAATTTGGCGGGAGCTCCAGGCTTTAGGTGCCAATGCCGATATCATTACATAGGAGAAACGTGTAAAGGTATTTTTATACATTGTATGAATAAAGTGATGTTTGCAAACAAAGACTTTATTGTTAGCCAGTAGCCGCTGTTCAGAATGATGAGCCCATGCTCGTCCGAAGGCGAGAGTCAACAAAAATTGAGTCTAAGTTAACCTTTCCACTCTCCTGATCTACGTGTAAATTCTCCTTATTGTTTTCGTCGAAGTTCCTTAAGATTTCTTTTAGCTCTAAGTATTTGGCGATGAAAAAACTCTATGCTTACTGTGCCTGACATTTTCTTTCTTTTCATCACTTTTATGACGACTTGAGAATATAATGACATTGAAGGATAATGGCAGGTAATTTAGTGTTAACAACTGAGTTGAAAACGTAAATTGGCCACCGTAAAGGGTAAAAATATATATAGCCTTTTTCGGTCACAACAGTTCATCAGTTGAAAGACTCTCAAGCATTATTCTCTCGTTTATTAAAGATTATGTCAACTGCAGCGTGGATAATGATGATAATAATTGTGATGACGATAATGAAATCATGAAATAAATGAACATGGAATAATTAGTTTGCAGTTCGCCCCCACTGGGAATGGAAGACGGTAGGATACTGAATCATCAACTAACAGCCTCATCGGATGGATGGTGGCTGCCGGATTTCAAATATTACAAGGCTAAAGATGCCCGTTTGAAGGTTCAATCGCTTTCTTGGGTCAGTAGTTACATGGATTCAACTCCTTGGCTTCAAGTCAGCTTTGCGCCAGAAATCAAACTGATCAGTGGTATTGCTACCCAGGGAAACCCATCGCATGACTGGTGGACGACAAGTTACACCTTGAAGCACAGCATGACGGGTAAAACATGGCAGGGGCATGAGCGACAAGGATTTACAGAGGCAAGTGAGATGATAGCCGGAGTCTATTGTGGAAAACGCAGAGTTGCACATTGCGTCTTTGGTCAGACCTAGGAGTGGCACTGGCGAAGAGAAACCCCTAAGAATTATTTTGAGGCAGGGGCGGTGATATTATTTGTCAACCAGCTTTAGACCGCTTTCCTAGCTCAGGTTTATAGTTTGAATAGTATAGTTTGAATAGAAGACATTCTAACTGAGCCTTGAACTGAGTGACGTAAATCTGTAACGTTAGTCATCACTATCAAGTAGAACAGTCGTTCTCTGCGATTTCAATAGGGGCACAGGTAAATTGTTCAAAGGGGAGGGGGTCTTTTAAACAAGTCCCTGCGTCTTGCGGTAAGTGGGTGATATCACTGCTCGACCTATTGTATCGGCGAGCTCATATTTACGCAGTGAGAAGGAGTTGCATTGAATGGGGTCCCTAGCAAAGGAAAAACATGTATACCAAGCAGATTCCTCATCGGCTTAATCATGGGGTTTGTCGGCAATAAACAAAAAGACAAATTTTCTGAAAAGGAGGGAGGTCACGAGTACCGGAACACCCCCTGGTACAACACTTTTTAAACTAGACCACTTTTGACAATAATTTTAAAATTGATCAATGTGCGCTAGGATTTTATGAAAGCTTGCATAGTTAGTTATTGGAGGTTGCGACTACTCCATCCAAAATATTGAGCCAGTTCGTTCTGTCTCTTCCAGGTTTTTCTTGCCAATTCAGACCGCAACACCATCGTGAAACATGCCATATCTCCTCTCATCAAGGCTTCGTTCATCCGCGTTCTTCCTTTTACGAAATATGGACGGTCTGCTCTACGAATTGAGATTTATGGCTGCGATTCCGTTGATGAATAAACACTCTACCAAACTACACGGCTTTTCTAACTTCCAAAATAACAAACTAACAGAAATCCCTGGATAACAGTGTAAAAAATCTTTCATTTTCTTTCACATTTTTGGTGATAATAGGGCCTCACAAGGATAGCCTTGTCGGTAGGGGCCAATATAATAGGCAATTTCATCAGTCGAGCGAAATATTTTATCGAATATCACGTTGTATGTCACTAGTTTATAAATAGTGTTTGTTGTCTTGGTTACATTAACCCATGAGTCGTTAAGCAATGACTCTGTTCTCAGACTCCTCTATTCAAAAAATATTAACAACCACATCGAAATCTCTTTGCATTGCAAAAATGACAGTACAAATGCAAAAGTAAAGAGATAAAAACAAAAGAAAATTCCTTAGCCAGTCTAATTAGTATTTTATACAACGTGTCTGAATATGACTGATGTGTCTAAAAGCTGGTGGCATATGGCCGTGTTGCCTGTAACCGCAGCCAACACGGCTTATATTGGTATATATAAGCTGAAGAAGTAAAAGAGACCGCACAGGTGAACGATATAGGTAAGGCGACCCTAGATTAACGAGAATAAAAACAGCATTTTTTTGTCATCTAATTTCAAGAAACTGGGTAGCTTGACAATTGATCTGGTTAGGTTTTTTTTGTTTGTTTGTTTTTTTTTTGTTAGTCCTTTTAAAAGATAATTTGGAACGAGCATTTTAAACCATATGGATGTTTATCAAAACAAAAACTTTGAGGAGGTAGAGGAAGTTTCAATAAGTACCTAAGAAGCGCTGTATTTTAAGCTCACGGAACAGCTGATCTGTTGGAATTGGGCAACATGGCAATTAAACAACTATTTTAAGCACATTGTTGCCCAAGCAATCCGTTTATGTAAAGTAGCTCTTTTAATTTCAGTCATCTATGTGTGTATCGTATACGTAAAATGTCCAAATGAGTTATGGTCAATTAAAAATATTTGTATATATTGCATTATTAAACTGGCTACAATGACGTTAGCCCAAATACAATTTTCAATCTTGGCGAAATTCTTTAACCGCAATTCACGGCAATTCCTACCAAAATGATTAATTCTTTATCTGAAAAAAGCGTAGCATAGCTATGATCCTAAAGTCACCCTGTGTTCTATGCGAAGAAATTAAGTCTTTTTATAGTTCGGTTTAATTGCTATATTGGTAATGATTGTGCAGCGACACTATCATAAACTTCCTTATCCTTTTATCTCTTTGTCTTGATCGTCGATTCCTCACGTTGGCTGCAAAGATTCGCTGCATGGATCACCACTGGGTCTTTTACTAGGTTGGGATAACATTTTCGAACTTGTAAATGAAAAAATAAATGGATAAAATTTGATATATCATCAACCACAAAAGAAAGCGCGGGAAAGAAATACTAAACCGGAAATTAAATCAAGTTGTTACCGGAAGCCACTATCCAATCAAAATTTACATTTTGGGATCATGTGACAAGGATGGCTTCGACATGGCGGCTGGTGTAAACTTGTGTGATGTACGCATTGAAGAAACTCTCAAAATAAGAATAGGTAGGTTCAAAATATTGCGAGAATTCTCATGAGAATTGCTCTCCATTATCTGTGTGATTTTTCAGGTGAGGCAAAAAATCTTCCAGCGAGAAAAGAGCCGAGATATTCGCGAAACTGTTATTGTGTTGTCACACTTGATCAAGAAGAAGTATTTAGGACCTCAACGGTAGAAAAAAGTTTATGGTGAGTTGCCATATGAATATTGCAGTTACTTCGCACCGTTGTACTTTAAATATTTCACAGAACTTCTAGTTAATATTTCCTATTCAAAGGCTGGGGCTCGTGCGCGTTTTCAGTGAAATATTTAGCATTGATCTGTTTTTATTCCGTACAAGGAAATTTTTCTGTTAGAGTTCACGCACGATTTACTCTAGCACGGTTGGTTTTTTGCAAGTCTTGTCTCCACACGGAAATTTCATTTGCATTGCTGTCTAAATAACCATTTGAATATAAAAAAATTAAGACCTGCATCTTGTATAGTGGAAAAAAAAACAGAGAGGGTTTTTTCATGATCGTGAAAAATAGGGAACACAATACGTCATTTAGTGGCAGAAACTTATTTGATTTACGCTTGCATTTAGCGACTAGTTTGAGAGAGTGGCATATTAATCAGAAATACTCTAGACCAACTCAAAAAGAAAATAATACTGTTCAAGTTTGTTTGATAAATATCGTTCCTGAATTGTCGCTTTTCGCATCATTATATAATCAGCGCCGGCCCGTTTTCTGCTCAATGAAGAAATTACTTGAGCGTGAAAATTTTGAAATGGCTTATTTCTTTCCTTATTACAGCAACACGCAAGTTAATGTTTGATTGTAGTTTTGTAACTGAAAGCTGCTATACTCTTTTCCTGTATAATTTATTTTACTCTTCAAATTCGAGTGTATTGTTTTATTTTTGTTACAAGTGTTCATTAATTTTTAAGGTTTAGGGAACGTGTCAATTTTGTTATTTCTCGCTAATTGGTTGTAGGATTTTCCATATTATGTTGTATCTGTCAAATTATTCAAACATTTGCTTTTCTTTTAATTCGTTTAAGCTAACGGTTAAAATTCCTGTACATGTATCAAGTAAAATCGAGGTTTCTATAGCGTATGCAAAATTTAATTTGTGAAATATCTCACTATGCTATTTAATTTATTAATGAGAGGTAATTATTGAAAGAATCATTTTTCTTAAGGTGATAACCTGCTATTGATATCCTGAATCTTATGTTGCAAAAAGTATGAATAATTGATTTAGAACTGGAAAGATTGGGAAATCATGCCTAAATGTTACATGGGCCAGGACGAGTGAATAGAGATCACATTTGATCAAACTCTGTTACTTGAAAATCTTTTTTTTTTTTGCTCAAGGTTTTTAACATGAGATTTTGAATAATATGTGGTTCAATACACTCTCTGGATGTAGATGTAGCTATAAATAAATTGGAGCATGTGGGGTGCAACTTAAGCTAAAACAGGATACATCATTTTAGAATGTAGAGAGCGCAAAGCAATAGTTCTGATGAAAATCACAAGTATGATTACCATCCAAAGTTATGTGGCAAGAAGTTTCATTGTTACTATTTTACCTTCATGTTGAAATGATTTTTTTCTTAATCAAGAAATAGTGGACTTCAGTCAGTATCAATTAATTACATTGATTCATTAGCAAAAAGAGATGAAAGAAAATAAATGAGTGCAATTTATGTTTATATTACTTTATTGAAATTTGACTGGTTGGTCAAAATAGTTGGATTTATCAACAAATGGCTCATTTATGGCCTAATCAGGTTACAAGGATCACCAGCGATTTTCAAAAAGATATGCGAAAGCAAGGAAATAAGATGATTTTCCATTTGAATACGATTTTTCTAAAAAAATAACAAACAAACAAACAAATAATTTCATATTCATTTTCACTTATTTTATCTGTTAAACTTAATCATGCCTTGGCTCTCAAGAAAACCATCCAAAACAGATCAATTGTATTTTCTCTGTGTTATAAATGTGTGACATTTTTTTTTTTTCTACAGCCCTTTTTTTGGTGAAGATGTACATTTTGAAGTTCCAAGAGACTTTAGGACATTATGTTTTTATCTATTTGATACTGATCTTATAGGAAAGGATACAGTTTTAGGAAAGGTAAGTTAGTGTGATTCAAATGTTAAGAAAAAATTATATCAGTACATTTCACATGTAATGGCATATTAACCCTTTCACTCCCAAGATCTAATTAGTAATTCTCCTTACTATCTGCCAAACAATTCTTATAAAAAGGATGATCAACAACTGATTGATTTAGTACTTGATTTCATGGTTAAAGGAGAAAGGTCAAAGGGTTAAAGAAGGATGTACAACTATTGATTTAGTACTTTCATGGTAAGGTACATTACAGGTATATGAATTTGTGTTCAAATAGGCCCAGTTGTATAAAGGTCGGATAATGTTATCTAACGGATAAATCGCTATCCAGTGGATAAATGATAGCAAAACATACTACACTATCCACCGGATAAAGATTTGTCCAGCGGATAACGTTATCTAACCTTCGAACAACCAGCACCTGGCCAGTTGTGATCACACCACCCAGCTCTGGTTACACTGTTAGCTGTGCTCACACTCATCATTAATCTGATTGTGAATGTGTGATTGTGAACAAAGGAAATGTAGAGACTGTAATCACAGTGAGATCAAACTGTCTCTAAGACTGGTTTTCACAAGTCAGCAAAATCCCAAACAATCAGGAGTTTCACTGTGTCCTCAGATTTTGAAACTGGAAATCTGTTGAGAAACTTATCATTAGACACGATATCGAGAACTTTTTTAGTTATTTCCCATATTAATGCTCTCTTGGTAAAAGGTATGGAACTTCAAAAGTCACATTTTATTAATTTGGAATGCTCTCAAGTTGAAATATCTAGTCCTTGTACAGTTTTGGAATAGAAATATCTACCCAGTGGCTATAAAGAAATTTCCCATTTGAACAGAAAAATATTTATTAGGCCACCCAAGCTCATTTACAAGACCAATAGGGAAAATCTCCCCCAGAGAACCATGAGGCTCTGCCTTTAGCTAACAATGTTGCTGGTAATTCTTTTTCAGGTTGCAATTAAGAAAGGATGTGTTCATAACTATCCCTCAGATACATGGTTTCCTCTGGTTCATGTTGAACCTGACACAGAAGTTCAAGGAAGAATACATATAGAAATCAAGCATTATGAATTTATACCTGACACTGATGATGATGAATTCTCTAGCACACCCAAACTAAGTATTAAGTACGTGTTTTTATGCCCACGTGAAATCAGTCATCAGTGTTCTCCCTTATTTTAAGCATGAAGGTGAAAAGAAATTTTTAAACCAGTAGAGCTAGAATTCCAAGCAATTTTAGGCAGTATTAAAGGTACTACAGGTGATGGATTTACCTGTTACTGCTTGAAAAAAAGAACATTGAGTTCTGTTCAATACCCTATTGAATTTTTTAACAGTTTAATTATGTAGTCCTTTGATGTTGAAAATTGTGCATTGTATGTTTTTTTGCATCTTTCTCAGATATAGAATTTTTAAACCAGTTAATTTGTGTAAAATTTTCCTTTGTTGCTGATTATTAGTTATGTTAAATCATGGACAAATTAAAGAATATTTCCAGAAAGAATGTAAATTTTCACTCATTAATGACTGGTAACCTATTCTTGCAATAATCATGCCTAGGAGGCTGATATTCTTGGTTGTATTTGCACTACTTATCATTCCTTTTGTTTGTTTGTTTTGTTTGTTCGTTTCTAGGGTTGTGGAATGTACTGACTTATATGGGTGTAATGGAAATGGCACATTTTCTGATCCGTATGTCAGTATTACTTGCCAACGCCCTGTCTCAAGGTAAATTTAAAGTCACTTAATAATTTATTTGGTAGCAGAGACTATTAACTGAAGAAAAAACAGCTCTTCTTAAGATCTGTATCCAGAGCTGGATCTTTTACAAATTATTTTGATAATTTTACATTTTTCTCTAAAGGTCAGAGCCCAAGAAGACCAAAGTAAAGAAAAGAACATTGAATCCAAAATTTGAAGAATCATTTCTCTTTGAAGTATGTGTAAATGCTAATGATTCGTAGTTATCATACATGGGTAATTTTCCCATTGTCCTTTGTCAAAGCCATGGTGTCAAAGGTTTGAAACCAGATTGATCAAAAACTTAATTTTAGATTTCTTTTTCTGTATAGATACCTGATGATGATGTTGAAAGTTTGGTTTTGAGGTGTGCCTTGATTTAAATTCAATTTGTGTCAATTATGGATATATTTTTTCTTTTTGAATTAATTGAAAACTACTTGGTGAAGGCAGTTTCAAAAGTATACTCTTGATCTTTGAATATCCTTAGGTGCACTGCCTGGAGTGCCAGTCTTATAGGGGAAGATATCTTCTTAGGAGAAGTAAGTGGCAATTAAAATGACTTTTGGTTCAAAGGATGTTCCTCTAACTCCTAGAGTGCTTCAGTCTTTTATTAAATTTCTATCTTGGCTAAGTTGGTGATATATGATATATTACATAGTTAATGAGTTTTGATCAGTATATACCAGTAGTTCTTTTCTTCACAATTTATGATAAGAGTTATTGCCGAATGCATTACATGTCAATTTCTCATATACTCTAGGTCAGGGTTCCTCTTAGTAAATGTGATTTGTCTTCAATGCATGAAGGATGGTGGGTACTTTTCATTGATTGAAGTTATTTTTTCATTTATTTTAAATTACCTGTAGATATCACACTTAAGATGTCGTGTTTTTTTAACAGGAGAAATACTGGTTTTTTATTAAAATTATATTTCTATTTTTCTTCTAAGGTACTGGCTTGGACCTCGTGAAGAGAAGAATGACCCTCCAGTTAAACAAGATATAGGCTCATTAAGGCTCAGAGTGACTCACACTCAAGATCATGTATTTCCTTCAAGTTTTTATGAACCACTGAGGGAAACAATTTTGGCTATTAAGGATGGGCAGGTAAAGGGAAGGGCATATTGAATTTTGTGTGTTGAAATACAAAGTTCATTATGTAAATACTGTAACTTTTCATTCATTAGGATGTACAGACAACTGCGGCCCACATTCTTGGTGATATAATTAAGGATAAAGCTACTGTGGCAAAGTCTCTTGTCAGAGTTTTTTCCCACCACAATCAGGTGTGCGTTTGTTGTTGTTTCTCTCACAGTGAGATTTGAATTAACAGTGTAGACAAATGCAGTGTTCTCCCTTACTTTAAGCACAACCGGTAAAAGAAATTTCAGGTAAATAAAATTTTCAATAATTTCAAACCATCTTTGGCAGTTTATAAGAGGTGGTAGCTTTTATTGGCTTCTATTGGCTACTGCCTGAAAAGGAGAACACTGCAAATATGAAGTTTTCTTGATGCAGATACATTACACATGTCTCAGTTAAATCTGTTGTTACTATCATGTGCATTCTTTGGTAAGCACATAGATGTACCTGCAGCCATACTGTGAAACTACTTTTTTCCCTTGTCTCTTTTGTGTTCTTTTATTTTTTTATGTTTGTTTGATTTTGTGTTTTTTTGCATTGGTTCCTTTTAGGTTGTAGATTTTATAAAGCTGGTTGTAGATCATGAAGTCCAAAGTACAAAGTGAGTACTATGGCTTGTTCTTAGATTGAAAGGTCAATTTGAGCAGAGGATGTGACATATCAGCTTTCAGTATGGTTTTTTATAGTATTGCTGACCATGGCCAGACAGGCCATAATAAAGCATCATCTGATATTAAACTGATTTACATGATTGCAGCCTTTCTTACAAAGATTTTTTGCATTTTGTTTTCAGAGATTCCAATACACTTTTCCGAGGCAATTCTGTAGCAACCAAGTCTGTTGATGAGTTCATGAAGCATGCTGGCATGTATTATCTTCATGACACCATTAAATGCCTCATAGATGAAGTGAGTTCATTGCTGTGTTTAGAAAATTAAAATTCAATATAATCTTGCGCTTATTCCATAAAATCTCTCATACATGTAAGGCCTTGTTGGCCTGAAAAGTACACTACATATTTTTTTTTACAACAAGAGAAAAATATATGTGCAGTATTTGTGAGAATGGCCAGCAGTGTGTGCTGAGTATAAATGAATTTTGCTACTTTGTTTAGATTTATGATGACCACAAAAGATGTGAAATTGACCCAGCTAAGCTGAGAGAAGGGGAATCACTTGAGGGAAATTTGGTGAGTTATTGAGAGGTTCTTTAGTTTTTACTTTTCTGTCTTGTTTGTTGACAGCAGGTGATGAACACTTGATAATTATCTCACATTATAACCACTGTTAACTGATGGCAAAATTCTCAGAGCTGAAACTCTAAAAAAATAATGTATGGCAAACTGTATGGAGAGTTGATATAAACTCTTGGGAAAGTGTTAAGTTTTGCTGGCTGTCAATGTGTTCAAGTGTTGTGTATTCCTGGCAGCCAGGAAAAACCCTGCAAAGAAACTCAGCGGTATAGTTTGTCAGCTGCCAGCTCTTTGGTAGAACCCTTTGTGTATGTGTTTCATATCACTTTGCACAAAAAAAACATGCAGCGTTAATTATGATGTGATTGTTTTTTGTCTTGTTTTTTTTAATGCAGGTTCATCTGCGGAGCTATGTAAATAGATTATTTGCAGCTATCACATGTTCTGCCATGGCGTGTCCAACTGTAATGTGTCAAGTATTTCACACCATTAGAGAAGCAGCTGTCCGAAAATTTCCAAGTAATTGGTCTTCATTGTAACTAATTAATATGAATTTGTCTACTATGAAAGGCTCCAGATGGAGGAACAGAAAAATGAATGACCAACATAGTAGACAGGACAATGCTCAAAATAATTTCCTGGCTGGCACCAGTCAAGTTGTTTGGTTAAACCCATTTTAGACTTGACAAATATCCGTGACATCAAGTCTATTTACCATGCTTTAGTTGTACATGCATGCAGTCCTGAACTCAATGCTGTAAGAGTGACTTAGCTGTGTTTAAAACCTGAACTTAGCTCAGAATTAAATTCTTCTTTTTGTGCCTAAGCAACTGGACAAAAATAATGTGTGGCATCCAAGGAGTTAACCAGACAAAAAAATCTATATTTGACTGCACATTGCCATTAACTAGGCATTGTTTCAAGCTCTGTAGGATAAATTAATGGAGCTGGAAAATGTATTTATTTTCTTTACAATTATCTGTGCAGTTAATTGATTTTCCATGAACATGCATGTGTTTTGTTTTGCCTTGATTCAGGTGATGAAGATGTGTGTTACACATCAGTGAGTGGATTTGTGTTCCTGAGATTCTTTGCACCTGCTATTTTAAACCCTAAATTATTTCAGATGAGAAATGAGCACCCAGTGAGTAATTTGTGATCTTAAATCTAATTGACAAAATAGCAATTTAACGATCAATGTCGGTACCTATGCAACTGCACACATACCCATCCCCTAATCCAACAGCCACCCCTACTTGTCATCATTTGACTGTTGTTGAGTTAAGAGAGGGGTAGGTGCACAGTTGCTCAGATACTACCATTTGTCATTCTCCTTACTGTCAACCATACAATTCTTATAATGTTAGTTCAGAGAATTTAGTATTGGATCAACTAACTATCCCCAAATTGATATCTTTCTGTATTCTCATCACTTATCTGGTTGATATTGTATTGATAGTGTAAGGAGAAATTCTGTCTTGGTCACACACATGAGAGTTAAAGGGTCAAACTGTAGCAGCAGTTTAAATCCCAAAACTGCTTATTCTTCTAAGAAGCTTCACCTAACATCTCCAGTACTCAATAATTTTTTCATTCAAGTTTTAAGCATCATTGTTAGATACATGTAAAGAATTTAATTACATCAACTTTATTCTCTTTTGATTTAACAGGATGCTCAAACAGCTAGGACACTTACACTTATATCCAAAGCTATCCAGAGTTTAGGAAATGTTGTGAGCTCTGTGCTGGTAGGTACATTTACTTGACTGTCCATTTCCATCAATTTTTTTTATAGAACTGAATCAAATTGAAAATTTTACTGCATATTTTTTTGTTTTTATTTATCATGATATGGAACAGTGTGGACAGGTAAAGGAACCTTACATGGAAACATTGAAGTCAGTTATTCTTGATCAGGAACATATCACTGCTGTCAAAAGAGTAAGTTTTGTGTTTGTTTATGGGGTATCTAGTGTATAAGGTGTGTTTTTCATGTTTGGTGTTTACCAGCCTGTGCGAAGGTCAGGAGATAGTGCCATTTTTTGCTGACCCTCTCTTTTGCTTGTTTTCACTGACTGAGAGCCTGGCTGGAACATGTTTATATTGATTGAAATCAACATTGAGTCTTTTGGGTATTTAAAAAAAGAAATGGCTATAATACTCTATAATTCATCTCAGAATTCATTCTCTTGTAGAATAGAAGTCAATACCTAATAAGAATGTAAAAATATATAGTTTTTGGTAAACTTAACTTTGTGCAAACCTTTTTGTAGTGTGTATTTTTCAGTGAGTGAGTGAGTATTAGGTACATACCAATAATCAGAAAATGTGTGGTTATTATATCTTGGATTTGGAAAGCTTCCACTTTTGCCAAAATCAAAATGGACAGCTCAGAAAATTAAAACACCAGTTTGTAGTGTTAGTTGATAACATGCTTGCTGTGTATATGATATGTAAACTTGTTCTGCAATTGTTTCAGTTCTTAGAGATCATTTCCTCACCCAGTAGAGCACAAGGACTACCTGTAGACTCAACAATTGTTCTCAAGGAAGGGTGAGTGATGTAGATGTGAGAAATATAATTTTTCTCATTCTGTGTTTCACTGATTGAAATAATAGTTTCTATAGGATTAAGCTGTATTTGGTGCTTTTATTGATTACTGTTCTCTATTATTTCATCAGGATGTTAATAAAGAGAGCTCAAGGGCGAAGTAGACTAGGTTTCAAAAATTTTAGGAAGAGGTTCTTTGTTTTAACTAACAAAGGCCTTTCATACTCGAAGGACAAAACTAAGCCAGTTGTAGGTCACATACCTGTCTGTGATATCTTGGGAGCAGAAAGTTTGGGCGAGGACTCTTTTCACCTAAAACTGGTAGGTTTGTTTTATTTTCTCAATGTTTTGCCTTGTTTGCTGTTTGATTTCGTTCTTTGTTGTCCTCGTCCTGAACTGTCTTAGTTTGTTATCCTTTAAAGCTGTCTGTAATTTTGTGTTTTAATGCTGTGGAAAAGACTTGGCAATGCTTCAACATTAAATTACTTTCACCTGTTACTTAATATCTTTTTAAGGACACTTCTTTATTAAGAATTGGCTTGCAATGCTTTTTTTTTTTGTCACGTGGCACCTTGCCTTTTCTTTCTTTTGGTTGACTAAGGAAAAACCTATTAAATGTCAAAACATGCTATAGTGTACACGTATCCCTAGCAATCCTTTCCTGCTGCCTGTTTCACATTGCCTCAGCTCTTCCTGAACCTTTTTGCTATTCTACTTACTCAGATGGTACAAATAATACAGCCCGATAGACAATTGTATGTACAGGCAAGCAACACAGTAGAGGAAAGGGAATGGTAAGGAAGTAAACAGATTTAGCCCATTGAGATTGAGTTTTGTTGAATCAAAACCAAGGTGATTGTATCAGCCAATCAGAATATAAGAAAGTATCACAGAGTGGCTGGGGGGAGCAGGAATTGACAGGTTGTTTGGTGGAGGGTTTTCAGCCAGTTATCAGATTTCTTCCCTCTATACCATCTGACAATCAGAATCTCAATTTATCTTGGAAAAAAGTTGACAAAGCCACCCTGATGAAGTTACACTGCTAAGATCAAAATTATCTTTTATTTATTTATTCATTTATTTTATTACTGATTCTCTTCTTCATGTCTTTTTAGGACTCGTGCACTGCGTAAAGTATGTCAAAGCAACCCACACAGAGTTAAGAAATATCATCCTGAAGCATTTGTATGTGGTAAATGGCTGTGGTAAGAACAAGATAACTCTTTTAGGAGGTAACATGTTACAGGAGAATAAAATTCTGTGACTCATTGTTATAGTATAAATTTATTTTTGCTACTCTTTCAGCTGCAAAGAGCGGGTAGAAAAAGCACCAGGATGTGCAGCTATAACAGAGTAAGCAATTCTGTGTACACTTTAGTGAGAGTGCATTTATTGTCACTATACTATTATTTATTTATTTATATCCCTTGTAGAAACTATGACAGTTAAAATTATGGTGTTTTGTCTAAGAGGACCAATCATTGTAATCAAAGTTTGCCAATCTCAACTAATTGTGATGGCCCCAATTCAGATGTGCTTAACAAGGTTTCCTATTGGTACAACTTCTGTTCAAGTAATAATGTTACTGTTGGCAGCTTAGTTTAGATAAAATTGATACAGTTTTCCTTGTTCAAAAACGTATCCTTGTTTCCAGCCAATGTTGATGATAATTTTACTTATAAAATGTTCTTTAATAGTTATTATAAAATCAAATTTTCTATTTCTCTTTGTTTAGAGTGCCTCAACCTAAATGTGTAAATGTAGCAATTGACTGTGATCGGGAGATTGAAAGAATACACTCACTGTTTTTAATAAACTTGGAAAAGTTGGATGAATTGCAAGGTAAGTTACTCCTTGTGTTTTTTTTGTTTTTTCCTTTTTCTTTTTTGTGTGATTAATTAAATTAGTCACGCTTTATTCAAACATCAATGACTGATGAGTACTTCCATTGTGTACTTGAACATGCTCAATCTCATTCATTGTTTTCAACAAATCCACAATTTTTATTCACCCCCAGTTTATGTTCACTTACACCTTGTATTCAATATTCTTATCTGTTTTGTCTCCACTCACAGAATATCTCTTGCTTAATGCCTAATTTTTGACATTGATCAATCTCACATTGTTACTTTTGGAATTAGTCTCTTGGAACAACTAATGCATTAATATCTAGAAGTTTTTGGTTTTCTGTCTGCCATGTGGTTTTCCTCCCTCTCATTAATTTTGCAATCTGTTTCCTTTATTGGTCCACAAATTTACAGTGTTTCCAATCTGACTGATTGAGAGGATGGTGCAAGTTTTCTTGACCAATCACATAAGTGAAACTAAACTGAAACAATCCAATAAGATCTGATTTGTAATTCCTCTTTCTAGTTCTTACATGTTTCATGGTAAATTAGTGACAAGAACTTACATTTAAACCAACTTGAAGAACAAACCTCAGCTGATGGGTTTGTTTCTTCTCTTCATCTGTTTCCAGATAATATGTCAATGTTTTCATACAAAATACCATGGCAGACACCTCTTTTTGTGTACCACAAAAAATAATTAGAATTTGTTACATAGTTTTCATCTCTGAAACTATTTTTTTCTCTTCCAGTTGAATGTGAGAGTCAAAGTGAAAACTGCACTGTTGAAGGAACAACCCAGGAGATGTGGAAACAGAAACTGGAAACCATTAATGACATCCGTTCACATATCATCAGCTTAGAACAAGAACACAAACAGCATAGGAAAATAACACACAGGCTGACCAGACATGGCAGCAAGTAAGTCAGACTACAAGCAGTCCTTTTTTTTCAGCAGAGTCCTTTGCATGAATTAAAAAAAAAACTAGGGAGAAACAAAAGGGGCCACCTGATGCACTGAAACCTCCTTCATTTTTACTCTAATGTTACTATCAAACTGTTACAAACTAAACACATATACATGGAACATGCTAAAACTTTGACACTCTACAAACACAATTACAAACATAGCAGTATTTTTAATAATTTTCACTGGACAATGATGTTATGGCATATCGAAACATTTTATCTTTTTAACAAGCTCTATTCCAAAACTCCTATGCAATTATGCATTGATTGTCAATGGGAATCTGGATTATCTTTACAGATACTGTTTCTTATTTTTTTTGTTCCTCTTTCAGGAAGTGCCCCTGGGGTCCAACTCAAGAATCTCCTGATCCATTTAGACGTCATTTGATCTTATAGTAGTCAATGTTTGTATATAAAGTGTGTAGAAGTGTCAGTTTGTAATGCTTCTGTCATAGTGGTTACTTCTTGAAGTGCAATCCATAAAGACTTCCTTCTTCTCGGTATAAAATGCAAACTCACATACTGGATAAATTCTCCTAAGGAAATTAGTCAGGATGCCTCAGGAAGAGAACGTAGGTTGCTGTTATTAAATTTTTTATTTAAGTGAGATTTCATTTTTGTTTGACCCTCTACAACAACATCACCTGAGTGTACTGATTTTCAGAACAAAGAGCTTAAACTCTGCATTTTATTTAGTAATCTAAGTTTATAATTTTATAATTATATTTTTTTTAAGTTGAATTTACATACTTCAGAATTACAGCAAACAAGTGTATTTGTTATCTCTCTCTTTCTAGTATGATGTGGTGGCTTTTTTAATTTGGTAGTTGTTTCTTTTATGTGGTATTGCGATTTGTAGAAAAATGTGAAAAAAACTTTTAGAGGGAAAATGATTTTCTTTGCAGTCATTTCCAAGGGTAAAAATAGTAGAGAAATTAAGTTTAGGAGTATGGGGTATTTTATGTTTACCTAATTAAGAAAAATTATTTTACTATGTATGGGTTATTTGAAATGTTATGCAAACACTGTTTAATTTCTCAGAGAAGTTGATCCAATTAATTTTTTTTGAGAGGGGCCAGGAAGCTAACTTTTAAGAAAACTCTTAAGTCCTTATCAATTTAGCACAAGTCTGTGCTTCGAAGGACTGTTTTCATGTTAGAACTCGCAACAGATAATTGTATAATAGCATACCAAACAAATTGAGTTTGATCTTGGAAGGTATTCAAAGGAATATTTTACTTCAGACACAGGTGCAATACTCTGGTAGTAGTAAAAAAGAAGCACTTGCCCTCTCTCTTTTTAAGACAAAAATGCAATTGGGGTTCCCACATTTTCAAAAGATTCCCAGCCAGTCATAAACTTAACATACTCAATAGTGAAACTGATTACCATAAACAGTGCTGGTTCTGGATATTTTGTCATGAAAGCTGTGTCTTTGAAAGTAAGCCCCATTGAATGGTTACAAGGGGTGTGCACAAAATTGTAGTTAGTCATGGGTGGGATTGGCTTAAAACTGAAGGCTGTACTATAATTGGTGGAGATCTGTTTTAACAAGATGAAATGCAGAGGTCTTTCATGCCAAAATATTTTTTTCCTTGGGCTCTTTTACTCTGCATTCATTCTAGTCCTCTACATTTTCTTCATGATCATGAGTGAAGCATAACTCAAACAATGTCACATTCCTTTTTCCTTTTCTTTTTTTTTATATTTCAGTCTGTTTGTTATTGTCTTTTTGTTTTCGTTCTGTTTTGAGTTTGGTTTTTAGAATAATTCTTTAAAAAATAAATAACACACACACACACTGTTACTCTGTTATTCCTTCAAGTGTTGAATCCACTCTCATATCTGTGGAACTTATCATTTGTTTAGTTCTGTGATCCTTTCTGACTTTTAGATGTTTCTAAGAGTTGAATTGCATTTTTGGCTGCTCATTAATGATTTAATACTTCAAATTTAGATGTTGCTTCATTGTATTGCTTTATTTTTGTAATATACCTATATGTTAGATTTTCAAGTCATATTGATGTAAACTATTTGAAATTTTATGCATTTAGATGCAAATTATTTTTGTTTAGATTGGACCAGTATGTTATTTATAAAGTTTTGCTGGTAAAACCAGCTCTTGGTTTATTTAACCACTTGATAATAAGCAGTAGAAATTTCAATGGTCAATCCAGCTTCTCACCACATGACTCCCATGACATGACTGGCATTTACGCCAACAATCTTGTCTGAGTAAACGCAGTTGTGCAACAGACATGACACTTTCACACTGGTTTGTCCTAAACTTATCACAGTTTCACAAATCACACCCTGGTCCTAAAAATCATCCACTACATGTTAGTTTTCCTAAAGCCAGTGTCACACTTTATAAGCCAATTATGGTGATAAAATCACCAGGTGTGTTGCTGGCTCTGGGGAATAACAGATGATGTATTTCTTCATATGTGGGATTTTAAATTCATTCACTACCACAAGATATTAACATGCAACTTCTCCCAAAAAAATTCAAAACATACAGTAGTAAGTTTATGAGAATGGAAAGACTATTGTATGTAACACTGCCTAATTTACAAGGAAATGTCTATTAGCTAGTGGGGAGAATTACTGATTTTGATCTAGGGATTGAGAGGTAAAATGCAGTGAATTTTTTTGTATTGAATGATGACACAACTTTCCATTATGATTTTCACATAAAGTTTTTCGTTCTGGTATTGAATTAAAAATTCATGACGTGTACCATAGAGCAAGATGCGTGTTTGTAATAATCTCCTTTCAATTGGTTTGTTATGTTAATTTTATGTAGAGTATGAAAACTAACCCATTACATCTAACTTAGACAAAAGTTAAGTACAGTTGCCTCCAAACAATTGAAAATAAAACAAGTTAAAAATGGAGTCATTTGATTGTGTGATTTTTTTGTAGATATATTATTTTAATCAAGAGACAACATTCATGGTTCTAAAAGATACTTTTTAACAATTTTTGTTTAAATTAAAGTGAAAGCAAATGCAACTTGAATATACAGTTACTGCTCAGAATACTAATTGGCATAAACACAAAGGAAATGTGCAAGTTTTAAACATTGACGTGATACTACTGACAAGGTATGTGGGTTGGAAACTGCTGGAAGCATCAGTGGTGCAAACAGAGAGTGAAATAGCTGGGAAATTGGAAATTTTTAAATGTGTGAGAGGTCCACACCCACATTAAGAAAAAAAATTATAATTCCAATGAAGTTGTGCATGCTGTAAGATACTGTGTTGGACCCCAGATTAAGCAGTCTTGACGCAAAATTTAGTTACTTTCAGAATATCTCACTTCATCCAGGAGTATTTTGTTGCAAGCAATACTTAAACTGTGTTGTTCAGATCATGACCTTATGGCTTTCATCAATAAGTACACAGAATGGTTGATGGGCAGTAAGACCTTGATATTGGTTCCTACGCCTCTCAGAGGAAGGAGGAACCACTTCTGGAATGTTGAAACCTAGATCCAAGTTCCTTGGACTTCTGGATGACAGATTTCTTTTGCTCACCAGTCATTCTTGGTAAGTTTAAGTCCTGGTCTCTATCAAATGGTCTTCGTTCAACAGGCTTGTCTTTATCTTCCTTCTATCAAATCATGGAGGAATGTAAAAAGATTCAAAATAAAATGAAACTTACTTCAGAAATATAACATAGATCAAGAATTAGACATCACTTTACTGCTATCAATTTTCTGTGGTTCTTGTTATTCAAAAAACAGGCATAAATGATAATTGCACCATTTTGAAGTATTTTCACTCACCTTTTGTTTTTCAATTTTCTTTGTATGCATATCCATCAATGATTCTCCCCTGTGCCGCTTCTGAATGTAAACAGTACAATAATTAGTTTATTTACCCACAACTGCAATTGTTTCAAATGAGTCTTTTAATAAAAATAGTCTATTCCATGTGACTGTGTGAATATTACTTATAGGATATTGCAGACTTTCCTTAGCTTCTGATTCAAATGCTTATATCAAACTCAGAAAAATTGGAAACAGGAGAAATGATTGAATAAATTACAATGTGAACATAACAATTACAAAATTCACCAACATGTCACCACTCACATTGTGACTTTCCACTTGCTTGGTCATCTGTTGATCTCTTGTGATTTCCCATGGAGTCCTGACAGGTTCATCATCATCACCTCCTCTTTTTGATCCTCTGTTACCCTCCTTTGACTGTAAGATGAACAATTAACTTACTAAAAATGATGATGCTTTCACAGAATACAGAACACTCTAAACTGATCCTAGGCTCAAAATTTCAGTTAGAAAACTGTATTTCACATTGATTCAACTGCGTCTGTTAACAAAAAAGTTTCAGGAGGAAAGAACACCAAGGGAGCAGGCTACTGGGGGGGGGGGGGGGGGGGAGGATGGACAGAAAGAGAGGTATGGAAGATAGAGGTGAAAATCATAGGAAGTAGATACCTTACAGAGGCAAGAAGCAGGACAAAAAAGAAAAGTGCAAACCTTTTGAATAAGTAACCTGCCATATTTTCAAAAATGGTTGAGTGATAGGAGCCAAAAGGCATGAGGCTGGTGAGTAGGGTATGGAAAGCAATACATTCTCACCCAGCCTGCCACCCCACACCACTCCACTTCACCTCACCTCACCCCCCCCTAAAACTCTATTTAAAATAAATCTACAGGGTTCATCAGGCACAGGTGTAAGTAAGTAGATTGTTAAGACTGAAATGTTGGAAAGTAAATTATAAATAACTCCTGTACCTTCCTGGCCTTGTCTGCTGGAGTGTCTGTCCAAACTGACTGATCACCTACTTCAACAGCACGAGCACGGAACTTACGGGGCCCCAAACCTGAAGGCAAAAATAAACCAAGGGATGAAATTAGAACAAAATTATGTTGCATTTATTATAAAAAAAGAAACTTGTGTAAGAAAATTTTGCAATGTCCAACATAAACCAAGAACTTTAACATTGACAAAATGCAGTAGACTGTCATAATTAATTATAAGCAAAGTCAAACTAACCCACCAAAATTCTTGCTTAAGTCTGGAGGCAGCTCTGTCATCCAAGTCTCTCGCTTAGGTTTTGCATCTTTCTGTAAAATTGATTTATAAACTTTTAACCAGAGCAGTTCACTTTATTCACTATTGGGGGCCATATGTAGAAGGAGGGAGAAGGCACAAGGAAAAAGGAGATGGGGAGGGTGGCAATTGGGACCTAAAAGTAGACAGGAGGCGCAAGACAAACAAGACAAACAAAAACACATACTGCGTTACTGTGAAACTCAAAAATGTGTATTGACCAATCTGACAGAGCTCAGGATGCAAACTTAAAAAAAAAAAGACACAAACTGAATGCCTTTTATAGAGACAGTTAATACATGATACATGATATACGATTAGCTACTTTACTTAGAACACAATGTCTTATATTCCATAGATATTGCTGGTTTTCTGCCTTTCCCTTCAATCATTAATCTTCAGTCTTTTGTTAT